TTTGTTTTGTTTTGTTTTGTTTGTTTGTTGTTTGTTTGTTTGCTTGTTTGTTTGTCTGTTTGTTTGTTTATTTGTTTGGTTGGTTTGTTTGGTTGTTTGTTTGCATGTTTGTTGCTTGGTTGCTTGGTTGCTTGGTTGCTTGGTTGCTTGGTTTGTTTGTTTGTTTGTTTGTTTTGTTTTGTTTGTTTGTTTTGTTTTGTTTCGTTTGTTTGTTTGTTTGTTTGCTTGCTTGTCTGTCTGTTTGTTTGTTTGTTTGTTTGTTTGGTTGGTTTGTTTGGTTGTTTGTTTGTATGTATGTTTGTTGCTTGGTTGCTTGGTTGCCTGGTTGCTTGGTTTGTTTGTTTGTTGGTTTGGCTTGGTTTTGGTTTAGTTTGGTTGTTTGTTCGTTTGTGAGTGCGCGTGTGCGGCCAGATCCCGATGAGAGTTGCGTCAGATGTACAGCACACGGCACAAGTTCATGTTTTCAACTTTTGGCCAGATGAGATCACCTGGCGGAAGTAAATTCATGGCTTTGTCTAGAACTTGTGAGGATGTCCGTCTGAGTCATGCCAACAAGCTCAGGTACGCTTCTGTTGCGCAGACGCGTGGTGTGGATCTGTCAGCTCCTTGTCAAGAACATAAGGCTGCAAACAGCACATGGGGGAATTTTGAAATCATCAAATTGACGTGTTTACAATTTGACAGGCAAATCCTGCTTGCAGGTCACAAGTCATAATGAAGCGCAAGCTTGCTTCGATACTGCGGTGCACCTATATGTCTCTGATTTGTTTGCAAATTGCCCCGGCCTCGACTTCCTTGCCCCTCTTACCCTCTCCATCATCGTCCCACCGCTATCCTTTTTGCATGGATTCCGCCGGTAAATCAATCTATTTTTCCAGAAGGACTGGCACAAAGCGATGTTTCAAGAACGAAGAAGGACTGAACTCCATCTATTTGTGCAAAAGGACTGGACTCCACTCATTCTATTTGTCCAAAAGGACTCATTCACCAGATAGCTGAAAGCTCTAGGGGTTCTAGCTTCTACTCAAGAGGGGGCACGTTTTTCGCTCTTTGGGGTCTATGCTGGTGGACTACCAGGTTCTCTTACGCGTCCGCGTCAGGTGCAGCTCACGGTGGGGGCGGCGGCTCTGGCGCTGCTGGGGCCGGCGAAGAGCTCCGTGCTGGCCGCGCGCCCAGCTCCGGGGCTGGACCATGGGTGTCCTTTTTGCATCACCCATTTTAGAGCCTATTTTAGTGGTTGGATTGGGATGTTCACTGGGGGTACGAATTGGATTTTGACCCATGGCCATATGAGTATGGGTCAAAATTTGCACCACCGGGGGACCGCAGGTTGACCTGTCTTTGCTTCCATGTACCAGGCTTTCATTCTGGGTACGCATTTTTGACCCGCAGCCAGGTGTCCTTTTTGGTTGTTTTGGTCGAACAATAGATGGCGATTCCTGGTTTACTTGGTGGTTGAATCATCTACCAGGGCCATCTATTTTCTCGTGGGCTGGACGTTCTTCGCCCCAACCCACCCCACCCCAACCCACCCCCACCTCGCCCCGCCCAACTCATTTTTTGCTGGACATGGGTATGGAGTATGGAGCCACCAAAAAGGGGGTGGAGGTCCAAGGACCACCCTGCAAAAGGAAAGGAGTGGGCAGAGATGTGGTTATTTGTAATAGCCCCGAAGCGTTCAAGAAATTATCGCTCTTGTCGGTTATATGTAAATTATTACTTCTGGTTTCGTGATCTCCGGCTTTTGCCGTACTGTGCAGGTTTGCTGTGATGTTTTTGCTCTTGAGAGCTGATTGACCATCTCGAGAGGATTGATGTTCACGCAGCGCCAGCCTTGTCTCGTGACGTTAGCCGTCGACGGTTAGACAAAGAACAGCGCAACAGCAAGCCAACAGATTCCAAAGAACGAGAGCAGAACAAGGGGCTGTTTAAGCACCATGCCCTGGTGCATGTCAAACAAAAGACTGGCATTCCAAAGAAAGCAAGCTTAACACTTTTGTTGAGCACAAGATAGGTAGAATGCGCAGGATCAAGTAGTATGGGCAAACACAGCATCGTTTATCTTTGTCCTTCCTTGATGTTCTTCCGGAATCCAACTTAGTCAGAAGACCGGGCCCTCTATTCCCGCCCAAGGTCATAGAGAGCGATCATTTTGAACTTAGGCCTGCTTCTGCACTAGGTTCTGCTATAAGGTGGCAAACTGGTTGTGAGTGGTCCACTTTGAAAGCTGCAGTGGGCATCATTGGCCAACTGGTCCAAGAAGCCTGATCGTATATCATACATTGCAACATGACTGCTCCCGATGCCACGTGCACACTATCGAGAGCTCGCCTTCTGTTTTTTTCTTCTTTTTTGTTTTTGTTTTGTTTTTGTTTTTTCCTTCTTTTTTTTTTCAGGAAGACAAACAACTCAAGAAGCAATCGGAAGCAACACACGAAGCTATACACACATTTGAGCCACCAATGCTTGTTTGTTTGTTTCCTTGTTTCTTTCTTTCTTTCTTTCTTTCTTTCTTTGCTTGCTTGCTTGTTGGTTTGTTTGTTTGTTTGTTTGTTTGTTTGGACTGGTTGTGTTTATGTTTGCTCTTTGGTTGCTTACTTGATGCCCTGCCACACTGGTCCCGAGCTATCAGCACGCAGGTCTCGGCGCCGGGGAGCTACGTGCTGCACTGCGACGGCTTCCGGGGCTCGGTGCCGGCCACCTGCCAGGCGACTTCCCCGCGCTCGGGGAAATGTGTCACAACGTGTTGCGCGCAGAAATGATGATGGCAATGATGATAAGTATGATGGTAAAACAAATATGCTGATGAACATGATGATGATAATTAGCTGAAAAATCAGTCATGTTGTCTTTTTTTTCTAATTAATTAGAAAAAATAGCTGAACAATCAGTCAATTTCTTCCTATTTTTTAAAATTGATTAGAGCATTTTGCTAAACAAACAATCAATTTTTGCAAATTTTCTATTTTTTCTTCTTGTCCCCCGGTCTCCGGGATGTTGGGACCTATTTTTTTCCAATTTTTCTATTTTTTCTATTTTTTCTCATTAATAGCTGAACATTCAGTCATTTTTTTTCCTATTTTTCTAATTTTTCTAATTAATTAGAAAAAATGGCTGAACAATCAGTTTTTTTTTTCTAATTGTCCTAATTTTTCTAATTAATTAGAAAAAATAGCTGACAAATCAGTCAATTTTTCTATTTTTCCTATTTTTTCTTCTTGTCCCCCGGTCTCCGGGATGTTGGGACCTATTTTTTTTTTCTAATTTTTCTATTTTTTCTAATTGTTCTAATTAATCAGAAAAATTAGCTGAACAATCAGTCATGTTTTTTCCAATTTTCCTATTTTTTCTAATTCATTAGAAAAATTAGAAAAAATAGAAACACATGACTGATTTGTCAGCTATGTTTTCTAAATAATTAGAAAAATTGGAAAATTGGAAAAAATGACTGATTTTTCAGCTTTTTTTTTTTTAATTAATTAGAACAATTAGAAAAAATAGGAAAAATAGAAACAATAGAAACAAATCGGTCCCAACATTCCGGAGACCGGGGGACAAGTAGAAACATTAGAACAATTAGAAGAAATTGACTGATTGTTCACCTATTTTTTTCTAATTAATTAGAAAAAATAGGAAACATGACCGATTTTTCAACTAATTTTTCTAATTAATTAGAAAAAATAGAAAACAATAGGAAAACTAGAACAATTAGAAAAAAAACATAGGTCCCAACATCCCGGAGACCGGGGGGCAAGAAGAAAAAATAGGAAAAATAGCAAACATTGATTGATTGTTCAGCTATTTTTTCTAATTAATTAGAAAAATTAGGACAATTAGAAAAAAAACTGATTGTTCAGCCATTTTTTCGAATTAATTAGAAAAATTAGAAAACATAGAAAACAATGACTGATTTTTCAGCTAATTTCTCTAATTAATTAGAACATATAGAAAAAAATAGGTTCCACCATTCATTAGAAAAATTAGAAAAATAGAAAACATTGACTGATAGTTCAGCTAATGTTTCTAGTTAATTAGAACAATTAGAAAAAAATGAACAAATTAATGATTTTTCAGCTAATTGGTCTAATTAATTGCAAAAAATATGTTCATCATCATCGTCATCATCTTTTTCATCATCATATTCATCATAGTTGTCATCATCATCTTCTCATAATGTTCATCATCATTCATCATTTGTATGATCATTTTCATCATCATTCATCATGCTTATTATCATCATTTTCATCATCATGGCCATTATCGTTTTCATCATCGTGTTCGTCATCATGTTCATCATCATTAATCATTTTTATCATCATGGTCATCATCATGCTTATCATCATTTCCATCATCGTTCATCGTGTTTAACATCATGTGTATCATCATTCATCATTTTTTTCATCATGTTCATCATCATGTTCATCATCATGTTCATCATCATGTACATCAGCACGTTGTGTTTCTTTAATATTATTATTGCTGTCATCATGTTCATCATCATGTTCGTCATCATTTTCATCATAAATTTCATCATCAATTTCATCATCATTTTCATCATCCTCTTCATCATCATGTGCATCATCATTTGTATCATCATTTTTATCACGATTCATCATTTGTACAATCATGTTGATCATCATCATGTTCAAAATTGGAAAGGAAATGGATAGGAAAAGAACTAGACAGAAATACACGAAATAGAAAGAAAGAAATGGATTTGAAATGGAATGGACATGGAACACACATGCAAAGGAGTGAAAGGAACATGGAAAGGGACGGAAAGATATAGGTATATTTTTTGAGGAAATGGACATGAAACTCGCTCTGTCCAAATTCTTGGCACGGGAAATTGCGAAACGAGCACGTGTTTGGCCCGGGCTGGCCTTCGGCACTTGTAGCTAGGAATGGAAAGGAAGGAAGTGGAATTAAACGAGCGCGTGTTTGGCCTTCGGCACTTCTAGCTAAGAATAGAAAGGACAGAAATGAAGTTAAAATGGAATTGACATGGAATGGACATGGAAAGGAATGACAGGGAGGGAAAGGAAACTCGCCTCTTCAGAACTCTTTTGAAAGAAATTGCAAAATGAGCAGTTCCTTTCTTCCTCCGCTTTTACCCAGGATGTAGGTAAGAGATCCCAAGAGCTGATATTAAAACAAGCTATCCATCGCTTCGCTAGCTGCCACAACCTTACGACTGAGGAAGAAGTAAATCCTAATGTATAAATCTTATGTCTTTATATCTGTCCTTCTCATAATCCTTCTCATGCCAACAAAAAGAATTAAGATTTGGAGAAGGAAGGACAGATAGGTGACTAGGAGATCCTCTATACAAGCCTTATAAATGCGAACGAAGATATCCAAAAGTAGATTTAATATGTTGTAGATCCCGGTCTTAAGCCGCTGTGTGGGGGACATCTTCCAGAATATCACACACATTGGTTACATTTATAAGTATTATCTACTTGATTTACTAGCTGTATTTTGTCTCGCCATGAATATCACCTATTGATTATTTACTTGTTTCATCTCTGTGTCTTGTTTATAGGAACTCTATTCCTTAAGATCTTAGTGCTAGGACTGTACGCGCTTCAAAGATGGGAGATGCATCCAAAAGCGTTCATTCTCTGTCTCTTTCCTGTCCTTTTACTGGTATGCTTCTTGGAAATTCCAGAGTCATAACTGTTGCAGCTAAACAAAAGCAAGCTAACATTAATCATATGAACGAAGGGACATCTCCTTACCTTGCAACCCCTCTTTCCCTTAGTAATCACGGCGGTGAGATAGGAATGAGTTAGGATAGGATAATATTCGGACATGGGCTAGACCTTATCATGCCATTTGGCCCGGGCTGGCCTTGGGCACTTTTCCATCTCCGTTTCTTGTCTATTCCATTTCTCTATTTGTTTCCATTTCCTTTTCAACGACTTTCCTCCCTTCTCTTTCCTTTCCATTCCCGTTTATTTTTATTTATTCTTTAAAAAAAGGAACAAATGATCGGTTCCATTCCTTTGTGTTTCCATGTTCTTTGCACTTTCTTGCTATTTCTTTCCATTTCTTTGCTTCTCTTTCCCTTTATTTCTATTCCTTTCCACTCCTTTCCATTCCCCTTCATTCTTAGCTAGAAGAAGTGCCCAGGGCCAGCCCGGGCCGAAAAAGTGCCCGTTTCGCAATTGTCAATGTCAATAATGGTGAAGCAGCAGGTGTCAATTTCATTTCTTTGAAATTCCATTTCATGTCCTTTGCGTTCCTTCCATATCCGGCTCAATCCTGTCCATCTTTCTTTCCACTCATTTTCATTCCTTTCCATTCCTAGCTAGAAGTGCCCAAGACCAGCCCCGGCCGAAAAAGTGCTCCTTTCGCAATTGTCCATGTCAATAATTTTGAAGGGGCGTGGTTCCTCTCTATTTCTTTAAGATTCAGTTTCATGTCCTTTCCGTTCCATATTTGTTTCATTCCTTTCCATATTTATTTTGATTAAATTTATATTCTATTCCTTTGCTTATATTTCCTTCCTATTTCCTCTCCTGTCCATTTCTGTGACTTTCTCTCCCTGTCTTGTCCATTCCTGTCCATTCCTGTCCATCCCTTCCTTTCCATTGCATTCCATTGCTTTCCATTCCTAGCTAGAAGTGCCCAAGGCCAGGCCGGGCCGAGAAAGTGCTCGTTTCGCAATGTCCACTCCTTTCTTTTTCACGTCCTTTCCACTTCTTTCCAATTCCTTGTCATGCCTTGTTTCCATTGCTATTTCTTGTTATTACATTTGCAATTGTGCTTCCATTAGCTTTCATGTGTTCCAAATATTGTTTGGTCCATGACGTTTCTATTTCGTGACTGTTTCCTTTTCATTTCGCTCCATTCCATGTCGGTTATTCTTTTCTACTAGATTGATTTTGTTACAAAGCGTGATGCTACGCCACTGATGTATCTCGTAAATTAGGAAACGTTAACTATCATAAGCAACGGAAAAAAGAAAACATGGAGATGTCCACTTCTTGCATCGAAACAAAACAGAGGATGCGTTTGTGCTTCATTCACTAAATTGATCTCTTTCATTTAAAGAGATCTCGTTTCTTACACGCCACGCACGCGCGCGCCACATTTGGTGCAATCTTCCCAACCACGGGGAGGGGGGCGATTGCGGCTTTGATCGCCCAGGGAGTCAGATGGCTGCGTGAAAAACAGGGTAACCGCAAAATGGCGCCAAAGCCCTGGTAAATGGACACAAGGACTACAACCTGCGGTCTCCTTGTGGCTTAATTTTGACCCATACCCAGATCGGATTCCAATTTCACCCTGGGAGCCACGGGTAGGGCTTCTAAAATGGCCCCGCTTTGCAGGGGTAAGGATGCATAAATGGTTTGCCCATGTTGGCATTTTGCCCCAGGCGCAAGGATCTCAAGCAGTGCTGGCGCTGGATGTGAACTTGGCCGGTTCCGCAAGTCTATTCTTCAGCTTCACCCTCGACACGCCCGAGGCGGACCCATACCCCAACACGCCCCTGGGTCAGCAAGAGGAATGAAGGAATGAGAAGCGAGCGGATGGTTGAACAAGACGGATCTCTGGATTCCACGTGTTGCCGGAGAGAGGTCAACACCAGTGGGATCCCATTTTGGGGTAGGTGCACCACCCATTTTGGTCTATTTTAGGGATCCATGGCCATGTGTTGCCGGAGAGAGGGGACTTGGAATCTTGGAACATTTGGCTCAGGTTTTTGATCGCCTTGCGGGATGTTCAGAACATCACGCTGGATGCCAACGTGGCGGTTCCAGGTGCCTCGGCGGCAAGCGGCAAGGCTGAATGCGCCTTCCCAGCATGGCAGTGACTCCTGGATGAACGGCTAAGCTGGTCTAGCATTTCAGCGTTTTACCTGCCAAATCTGTGGAGGAGGACCCACTAACAGAATCTTTATTCTCACATTGCTGTGTTTTCCTGTTTATATACTGGGGATTCCCTTGCAACTCGGCCTCGTGCTCTGGCAGAGCGTTTTTTTCTGGAAGGGGCACACACAGAGTGCCACAGTATTGGCGTGGAAGCACTGTATTGCATTGTCGCTAGATACGTTGCCTCCGCCATTGCATGAGCGTCGGATATAGGTCAAGCTCGATAGCCTCCGTTTGATGTCTCGCTCAGCTTCCCAGCTGACTGGCCGACAGCCCGTGAGGAATGCACATACCGCAGACCCGAGTGGTGAGCAGCGTGAAGATCGTGGTGGTGGGCTTCGAGAATTTGGCATGGCTGCAGGTGCGGAATTTCAGTCACAGGACCCTGGACAATCTGGACCCATCAGTTTCCCCTGTGTTGTGTGTGTGTGTGTGCGCGTGTGTGCGTGGGTGGGTGCCTTTGTGCGTGCGTGCGTGCGTGCGTGCGTGGTTGTGTGGGTGTGGGTGTCTGGGTGTGTGGGTGTGTGGGTGTGTCAGTGTGTCAGTGTGTCAGTGTGTCAGTGTGTCAGTGTGTGTGTGTGTGTGTGTGTGTGTCAGTGTGTGTGTGTGTGTGTGTGTGTGTGTGTGTGTGTGTGTGTGTGTGTGTGTGTGTGTGTGTGTCTGTGTGTGTCTGTGTGTGTCTGTGTCTGTGTCTGTGTCTGTGTCTGTGTCTGTGTCTGTGTGTGTCTGTGTGTGTCTGTGTCTGTGTCTGTGTGTGTCTGTGTCTGTGTGTGTCTGTGTGTGTCTGTGTGTGTCTGTGTGTGTCTGTGTGTGTCTGTGTGTGTGTGTGTGTGTCTGTGTGTGTCTGTGTGTGTCTGTGTGTGTCTGTGTGTGTCTGTGTGTGTCTGTGTGTGTCTGTGTGTCTGTGTGTGTCTGTGTGTCTGTGTGTCTGTGTGTCTGTGTGTCTGTGTGTCTGTGTCTGAGGCTTTCCGTAAATAGCTGTATTCGTTTTTTAGTGGCTAGTGGCGGTGGCTATGTTGGTAAGTAAGTGAAACGCAGGCCGCGGAAGCTCCGCGGAAGCGGCGCGGAAGCGGCGCGGAAGCTGCGACCTGTTATGTTCTTTCAAACTATTGGCTTGCCTTTAAGCATGTTACACGCTTGTACCGAAAAGTTACGATTCTCAAGCTGGATCTCGGAAAGTGCACCTCGCGTACTACATCTGTGTATGAAAAGTTCCAGATCAATGAGCTGGAGCTGAGAAAGTGGCCTTCGCGTACTACATTTGTACTAAAATTTGCGATTCTCGAGCCGGAGCTCGGAAAGTGCCCGACGCGTACTGAAATAAAAACCCCGCGCCTTTTCGTTATGTAAGGGGACGTCCCTTAACTTGTTTTGCAGGCCCAAACCATTGTAAACAGAGGAAAAAATCGATACCCCCAGAAGCCATCAAGACACACATCAGGTCCAAGGTGTTGTCGCAAACCAAGATTGCGGAATCAGACATTTGCAGGGCCCAAACCGATACCCAAACCGATACCCAACTCATTAGCTGCTGTACAAATCAAAATGACCATGCCTGGACAAGAAAACGGTTTGGTTTGAACGATGCCCCGAACGATGCCCAAACGATGCCCATATCGCTGGCATAGCCCGCAAACTGGAACCAAGAGCCTGTCCCGGAATGTTCTCGAGATCTTCTAAGGAGATGCCTTGGTCTGGATCTGCTGAATAACCATTCGCAATTTCACGGCTGACCAGAGCAGATGAAGAGCATTCGTAGTTATGGATGTTGTAGAAGGTACGTTTTGCGCCGCGGAAGCGGCGCGGAAGCGGAGGGATCGCCGCTTTTTTTCTCAGTGTTTTACGGAAATCCTCGTGTGTCTGTGTGTCTGTGTGTCTGTGTGTCTGTGTGTCTGTGTGTCTGTGTGTGTCTGTGTGTGTCTGTATGTGTGCGCGGTCATTTGCATGAACAAGGGTTTGTCACTTGTTTGTTTGCAAATAGTTTTGAGATTTTACCCTTGTCTCTATGACCGTGATTGCGAGCATGGGCCTTACGGTCATCGGTGATCGGTCTCAGACGCAGTCTCCCGTCAGCAGGTCCCAGTGCATGCTCACACGCGCCATAACTTCTGAGCAAGTCTTGCCCACATGGCACATCAAGCTCTTCCTTTACTGTTGGAGAGTCACCTGTTCAAGCAAGGATACTCAAAGATGGGGGGCTGGGATGGGGCCAGTCAGCCTGCGACAGTATGCAGGCAAATGTGCACCATGGCAACACAGGCCATCATGGTGTTTAGCGTCAGAGAGGGCGCCCATGGAAAAGCCACGTCATATTGCGGAGCTGCAGGAACTCAGTCCGCATTCTCTCATTCTCAACCTGGCTAGGCCTGGGGCGACGCAGCCCAGCAACTGGGAGTCCTCTCCCGGAGCATTGCGGGGGTCCTGTCCATTGGCGCCCAAGGCGACGTGGGCCTGGGCTATTTTCAGCTGGCTCTCAACAACCGCAACATCCCCCTAGACCCACAGCTCTTGCCACCACCCCCACCATCCCCACCACTGCTGCCGCCACCATCTGGAGCACTTGCATTTGTTATGGTCCCCACCCCAACATGCCCCAACAGCTGCAATCCCACGCTTCCCGTTTTTGTGCCGGCCGTTCACGAGAGTTTCGCCTAAGTCACAAAATCTGGCGCCAGGCGTGGCGGTGGACTCGGTCGTGGCCGCGCTTGGCACTGGGCGGCGGCTACAGTCCGGGCAAACCACCGGGCATTTGGAGGCTGGGCGCAGAACTTGTGCAAGCAGTCGTGGAAGGCCCTGGTGGAGAATTTCATTGTGGTTTGAAGTCCTGGCACATGACTGCCTTCCCAGGACCTGGCACACGCTGCCATTGCTTATCCAAACCCCCGCCATTCTTCAAAGCATCCCATATCCTTCAGCCTGACCTGCTCCGAGGTGAACTTTTCGGCCTACTCCTCGTTGGTGCCCGTTGGGGAGCTCTCTGACCGGGTGACCGCCGTAGGTGCGGGGCCCTGGCTTGAGACGGTCAGCTCTGCAGCAGGCTGTGGCATCCAAAGGATCTCGCCCTTCGAGCATACTATTTGATTTGGCGGTCTCCTAAACCCGCATTGCTGCAAAGCCAGGACATGTTGACGTAGAGGTTCGGGCAGGTAGGCACACCACGCTTGAGGCGGCAATTGATTCACTGCCAGGCTTCCGGGTATCCCTTCAGGAGGGCCTCACTGCGGAGGCCTTGGCAGCCGGCCTCGGCCTCGGAGACGGTGGAGAACCGGCACCTGGCTGTGCCAATCCGCGCGCGTGCGCGCGCAGTCGGCCCTTTTCGGGAGGCCGGGCACCTCAAGCTTGACCAAGCCTCGTCATGCAAACTCGGGGGATTGATCATTTATCTCTCATGACTTTGGGCAGTCCCACCTCCCAGAGCAGCGGAGCTTTTGTGTTCATTCAAAGCCCCTGTAGGCGTCGAGCAGCACTTTGGGTAGATACCCCTTGCTGCAGCTGAGAAACTCGCAAACCAACGGTTCGCAACTTGCGTCCTACCCTTATGGAGTCGTCATTTTAGCCTCGGCAGTCAATGCCAGTGAAATCCAACGCCACGCAATGAAGCCACAATGTTCTTTCTGAAATGAGCATGGCATATCATGCCAAAAGCGCGTGCCCGTTACGATCAGCTCACGAATTGATAGTCTGGTGAGAGCAAGGGCTTTGCTTGGGTGTGTCCTTTTTGAGGATATCCTTTTGGGGTTGTTTCCAAGGGGGGCAAAAGGAAACCCACTTTGGCGAGTTCCCCTATTTAGTTTGAAGTTACACCCACATGAGGCATGGAGTGACTACACAGAGCTTGTGGAAGCAGCAGCGTGGATCATTCGACAGGCTCTTCAAGTTGACAAGTTCTCAAGGAGCTTTTGTTAAAGAGGATCGGACTGGATCTCATGACGCATGCTGGCAACTTCGACTGTCCGTTCCGCGTATGTACTCATGGTAGACAGTAGGGGGCTTAGTCGGTTCCTGATCTTCATGGATTCCTTGCGGCTTCTTTTTTAGCGTGTGCCGTTTATGTGACCTTCCAAGGTCTTGCGTCACTGCAGGTTGGCGCCTGAGTGAAATCTCTGGGCGGACTTGTTGACTATACATATGGATGGCATGGCCATTGAGAGCCGCATCTGACACCGTGAACGGCAGCAAGATTTGAACATGCAGCAACCAGTTCTGGACGGAGTCTTTGGGTGGCATGCCGGTGTTTTCAACTACACGGGACCCCCGCAGGTCGTTTCTTGAACTCTATGCCGCCCCCCCCTCCTCCCCCCCCAAAGCCTCCCCCCAAGTTTTTCGACGCACAGAGTTGCCTTTTGCATGGTATGGAAAGCCTCAGGTGCTGGCCGTGTCCGAGCCGGACGTGCCCAGCACCACCCAGCCGCCGAACGTAACGGCAGGGGCGCAAAGGGGGAGGGAGTCTCGCGTCGAGTGCGCTTTTTGTTTTGGAGCAGTGCCCCTGTCTCTGAAAAATGTGGTTGGGTCTCCGGGATTTCAACGGGCTGAGGCCAGGAGCTCTCGATGGCTTTAGCCACTGCCTGTCTTGGTCCAAAAAGGCATTTGCTCTGGGGAGTTGTGATGGATATATAATTCATGAACAAACCAGTGCCTGCAACCATCCATGGACTGGAATGGATGGGCTGGCAATCCATCCATCTTCAGCTTGAGAGGCCTTTTTTGTGTTTGAACACACGCGCCCTCCACCTTGCTCAGACGCCCACGCTCCGCTGGACAAGCTCCGTAGCAAACAGCACCGGCACTGCCAGGGCCCAAGCGTGCATGGCGTTCACAATCAAACATGATTTTGGGGAAGACTCTTGCAATTCCTCACTGAAAAACATGCTGAGCACAAAATAACTCTTGTTTAGCTGCCTTGACATGCAGGTGCTGACACAATTGAATCGAACTTCTTTCCTAGCTTCATGCATGCCACGCTGCAGTACGTTGCGAGATCCTTTAAGTTGGAGTCTGTGCACAGCATGCAGGGATTTCGCCTTGCTGGTCCAAGGTGTCTGTGAATCTGATCTTTCAGCAGTCAACTGATGCACTCAGAAGCTTGGACGCAGCTTGAGAGCTGGCTTGGCAGGCTGCAACTTCACACAGCATCTTTTCCCTTCTCTTTCTTGCGCTCTCGTTTCACTGAAGTCACCTTCTGGTATGAGGGAGATGCGAGGGTAGACAGGTGGGAGCCACACTCCCTCACAGCCGCGCTTCTTGTTTGCCTGGCTCAAGGAGATGTAAGATACCAAGAATATTCTGCAAACTCCATGCCTTGGTTACGGGGAGTTCGTGTCGAAGGTGTTACGCACATTTTGACATGGCCAAACGGCGAGCCGTCGCCATGGGCCTTCGGCGGCTTCGGGGCCTTCGGGGCCTTTGGTTTTGCCTGGCGTGCCTGGCTCTCCAGGCGCCTTGCCGAGCTCAAGTTGAAATGGCGCCCCTGTAGAGAGGCGGAGAGGGAGGCCCATACTCCAAACGAGCACGTAATGATCTTGGAGACTCACAGGTGCTTCTGGTCACTTGTTGAGGCGCTGTGCTTCGCGCAGACACGCCATGTGACGCGGCCCGCTCGGGAGCCCGACAAAGAGACCAAGTTGAAAGAGGAGGCTCGGGGTTTCGATGTGGGGCTCCCAAGCCTAGAGGCGTTTGCTACAAAGCGGATGTCCTTTTTTTTTGGTGGTTCTATGCTCGGCAGGTAGACAGGGAACCTGCTGGCAAGCCTGGGGTGCAGGCATGCGCTTGCTTGCCGGCATCCAGAAACGGATTTTGGCCCATTCTGGAAGGAAGCTGAGCCAACCATGTTGGCGGTTCCCCAGTTTCGCCGTCTAGCCACTCACATGCCAGCTGGTGCTTTGAGTGTGCCAGGAAGAGGAGGCAGAGGTAAGCACATGGACTTACATCTTCGGGAAGCCCGGCGAGCTGAGGCACGGAGTCGTTTTCAAAAGCCATGTTTGGCGTCTAGGGCTTTTGGCGAAACATGTGCAAACGTGTTCTTGAGACACGACTCAACCCGGTTCTGGTTGATTAATGAGGCGTGTGTTGAAAGTGATGGTCGTTGAAAGTGATGGTCATCCATGAGGTGTCAGAGGGTTCAGCAGGCACGACCCTAACTCGAAGAAAAACACTATTTGCCATGCTCTTGGGCAGTCAGTTTTGCTTTGAGCCCGCACCCTCACCAACGGGTGAAACATGTTCAAGACTTCGGGCTCGTGGCATGAGGTTTGTGGCTTAGGCGGGACTTGAGCATGGTGGGCACATCTCCGGAGAAGATCCTGGCCGCGGGCCTGCTGGCTTTGGCGCAAGCCTTGGCTTTGTTGCCACAACCGGGGCGTTTCCAGATGGCCTCAGGTGGTTCGGCCCCTCTTGAAATCCAGTGGTCCATTTATCGTCTCTTGATTGGAACTGACCTTGGCACGTCCAGTTTCTTCAGTGCGCCCCCCGGTGCCCAAAGGCGGCAAGCCTTGCCTAGGTGATCGGCTTGGGCAGCAACCTGTGGGGCCAGACCGAGCTTCTCTTCCGATGCTTGGACTGGTAAAACTGCAGATCAGGCCCCCTCTACCTTTCAACGACAAACTAAAAGGACACCTCCATTTTGCGTTTAGGCACCTGTGATTGTAAGACTGCAAATGTGGGTTGCAAGGAACGCAAAGTGTTTAAATTAAACTAGGCACATGTGAAGCTGCCCTTTTTTCAGAGCCACCAATGGTTGTGCCATGATCAAAATGTCTATGATCATTAACCCTACACTATGGGCATGAAGAAGGACCATTGCAGGGAGTTTTATGTAGGGCAGCATGACCACCCCTATCCCCCACTACATTTTGGGGTATTGAATGTGTCGCCAACATCAGCGACTATCCTTTGGCTGGCAGGGAACCAGAGGAGCGAGTTTGGCCGAGGACTTTGGCCGGGGCTGGGGGAGAAGGCGAGGGAGGTTCACCTGGACTCGCTGTATGCTGTGGATGGGCTCAAGGCTCGGGAGCTGACGGGCAAGCTGCAATCCGAAGATCGATCTCTCTTTTTTTTTCCCGAAAGCATGGCGAAGGGTTCTTCCGCTGGGTTCACTTGAGTTGTTCTCATGAGAGTCATTACAAGGTGTCATTGCAAGGAATCATCATCATAAAAGTCATTGCAAGGAGTCATTGCAAGGAGTCATTGCAAGGAGTCATTGCAAGGAGTCATTGCAAGGAGTCATTGCAAGGAGTCATTGCAAGGAGTCATTGCAAGGAGTCATTGCAAGGAGTCATTGCAAGGAGTCATTGCAAGGAGTCATTGCAAGGAGTCATTGCAAGGAGTCATTGCAAGGAGTCATTGCAAGGAGTCATTGCAAGGAGTCATTGGAGTCATTGCAAGGAGTCATTGCAAGGAGTCATTGCAAGGAGTCATTGCAAGGAGTCATTGCAAGGAGTCATTGCAAGGAGTCATTGCAAGGAGTCATTGCAAGGAGTCATTGCAAGGAGTCATTGCAAGGAGTCATTGCAAGGAGTCATTGCAAGGAGTCATTGCAAGGAGTCATCATGCAAGGAGTCATTGCAAGGAGTCATTGCAAGGAGTCATTGCAAGGAGTCATTGCAAGGAGTCATTGCAAGGAGTCATTGCAAGGAGTCATTGCAAGGAGTCATTGCAAGGAGTCATTGCAAGGAGTCATTGCAAGGAGTCATTGCAAGGAGTCATTGCAAGGAGTCATTGCAAGGAGTCATGGCAAGGATTGCAACTTGCACTTGACTCCTTGCACTTGCAACTTGCACTTGAACCCATGCACTTGACTCCATGCACTTGCAACTTGCACTTGACTCCATGCACTTGGCTCCTTGCACTTGGCTCCTTGCACTTGGCTCCTTGCACTTGCAACTTGCACTTAACTCCGTGCACTTGCGACTTGCACTTGACTCCATGCACTTGGCTCCTTGCAACTTGCAATGGCTCTCATGACTCCTTGCAATCCTTGCAATGACTCCTTGCAATGACTCCTTGCAATGACTCCTTGCAATGACTCCTTGCATGACTCCTTGCAATGACTCCTTGCAATGACTCCTTGCAATGACTGCTTGCAATGACTCCTTGAAACAAGCAAGGAGTCAAGTGCAAGTTGCAAGTGCAAGGAGTCCATGGTTTTTTGCGATTTCTAACCTGCTCGCGCGACCCTCTGCGGGGATCGGCGTGGTCGAGGTGCAAAAACCCATGGTTTTTATGCGATTTCTGCGGTGCTCGCGCGACCCTCTGCGGGGATCGGCGTGGTCGAGGTGCAAAAACCCATGGTTTTTTTTGCGATTTCTGCGGTGCTCGCGCAACCCTCTGCGGGAATCGGCGTGGTCGAGGTGCAAAAACTCGAGGTTTTTTGCGACTTTTGTTGTTCGAACTGGTCCTCGGGAGTTGTCTCGTGGTTCGCGCGCCTGCTCCCGGAACCGGCGGGTCGCGGGTTCGATTCCTCCCTGGTCCGCGGGCGGGCGTCGCAAGATGCAACTTGCATTTTACAGCAACTTGCGCAGAGCAACTTGCGCAGAGCAAGTTGCACAGAGCAACTTGCGCAGACCAACTTGCACCGACCAGTTTGCGCAGAGCGCCTTGCCTAGAGCAACTTGCGCAGAGCAACTTACGCAGAGCAACTTGCACAGAGCAACTTGCACAGAGCAGCTTGCACAGAGCAACTTGCAGGGAGCGCAATTTGCACAGAGCAACTTGCAGGGAGCCACTTGCAGGGACCAACTTGCCGGAGCAACTTGCGCGGAGCAACTTGCGCAGAGCAACTTGCACAGTGCAACTTGCGTAGAGCAACTTGCGCAGACCAACTTGCACCGACCAGTTTGCGCAGAGCACCTTGCCTGGTGCTGTCTCGCGCTTGCTTCACGAAGTGTAGGGAAAAAGAACGCATCCTGCAGCGTTGGGCCGACCTCGCTTGCGATGTTCTGCTTTCGGGCCAACCGTGGTCTAGTTCTATGTGCGATATTTATAATCATTAGCTGCCGGAAATGTAGCGACTTGGAGAGAGACTGGGGTGGGGATCCTCAACAGCCTCCTGAACACCCACCCAACGCCCGCCCCCGTCCCCCCCCGGCAGTACATGCCGCTCGCTAGACCTACTACGATGAGCAGTACCAGGCTGGAATGGAACATGAGAAGTGCCTCCTGGAGGCTATGTTGTGCTGTCTAGAGCTTTCTTCGGTTTGCATCGGATGTGGACGCGGCTTGAGTTATAGACGGTAAGTTGGCATAGAAAGGACCCACTTTTCTTTTCACAGTTGTGCAGGTGTCGGGAAGTATATATATATATATATATACACATACATATATATATATATATATGTTATAACGCTTCAGAGAGCAAAGCCTACGCTTGCCCACAAGCCTGATCCCCCCTTTGAGGGATGGCATTGAATGTCCAGGCACGCTTCCCCAGCGAGTGGCTCTTTGACCAGCGCGTGGCGTTGATCAAAGCGCGGCAGAGCAGCCCTGATGACATGTTGGGCGCCTCGACTTTCAATGGAGAGATTTGGCCGTTAGGCCAGGCTGCAGTTCTTTGCAGGTCGTCCACGGAAGTTTTTTCTTTTTCCTTGCTGTCTTTAGCAGGTGAGAGAAGCCGTGTTCTTGCGGCACAATGATGGCTGCAGGGCTAGCAACGTGAGAACCCTCAGCTGCAACGGCTCCTAAGGCTTCTCGCGGCAAAAAGCTGGCTCGACAGCGCAGGGTGTGCGGCACTTGGTGCTTATTAGATCAATCTAATCTGGGCATTTTTCCCGATTTTGTCTTACAGTTTGTATGCTTGCTCGACATTGGCTTTCGCTGAAAATACCCAGGGCACAGTTCACTCAAGTTGCTTCTGGGATCCATTGAGCACCCGATAATCGTGTGTGCGTTTGTGCATGCCCTTTTGCTTGTTACTTGGCTGCCATGACGAGTGCTGTGACCAGCTCCAGGTAGTGCCAGATGCGGCATGGGGTCCGGCTGGTGGAGGGGATCGCAATTTGAAGAAGCGGGAGAACCTGTCAGTTGCTCATCTGCTACCACAGGAGGAATTAACAAGTGTGATTGTGCATGTATCATCATGTATCTTATAGCAGTTTGTTTGGAGGTGGACGGAGCTTGGGGGCAAGGCGATTGATACAGTGAAGATGTCATCGACTTGTCCAACTGAAAGAGGGGTAGATACGTGCGCACACCTTGGCCAATATGACCAGCCAAGGTTGTCAAGCAAGTTCTTCCACCAAAACCTTCTGGTGAGCCGCAAGAGATTACGGAGTGCCAAGCTGAGCGCGCCAGCTGCTGGCACAGTGGCATTGGGGGGCAAGCATGTTGCCTTTGTATGAGGCACATGTCAGCTGCGCCTTTTGAGACATCTCCAGCCCTGAGGATCCTTGGAGATCCGCAGGCATCCTTGGACAGGCGGGCATGCCGCATGACACATCCGTGGAGCCAACTGCAGCATTCCCATTGGCTCGACTTGTCGACTTGGCTGCCAGGCTGCTGCGTGAGACCATCGCCCCAGAGGGGTCCAAGAAGACGGTGGAAGCGATCTCTGCCGCCCAGGCAGCTTGCTTACAATGGATGTTGAAATTTAGTTGTCCCCCTTCAAATGATTGGTCTTAATGTTGAGTTCCTTCGAAGAAACCACCAAGGGAGGTCCCGCAGTGAGGTACCCAGCATGCCCATGGTTGGCCAGGATGTTTGGCGGTCAGCGAGAATGTTTGGTGGTCAAGGGTCAAGGGTGAAATGACAATAATTGCATTTTGAAGTTCGTCAGTGGACAGCAAGACTTAACCCTTACACAGTGCTGTGTTTGGTATTTACTTCTCTCTTTTTTTTCCCAGGTTTCGGTTCGCCAGAGTATTCTGAGATGCAAGGTGGAGCGAGCTAGCCACACCTACTACGCACCTCCGCTGCACTGAGTTTGTCGTTAGTCGCATCTACTGGTGTGCACGCTTTTTGGTGGGCTTGTTGCTGTTGCAATATGCTTGCGGTTGGGTTTACTTTCGACATCTTCAGTCCAAAAATGCATAATCCATCGGAGAGTCCCTTTGGTTATCACCGGTTTTGCTGTATTGCACGCGCTTCAGGTTGAGGGGAACGCAGGATGGGAAACACATATTGGAAAATCGTTTTTTTCTCCCAAGCGATGGATGAGTCTCCCGTTCCTCGGAGCTTTTTCTCCATGGCAAACAATTGACCCATGGTCTAACATCGGTCAGTGTTAGACCTCAGGATCTAAGGGCACACCCCAAGGAGACCGATGTTGTTCGCGCGTTCTCAGTCTTTTCGGCAAGGCGGCCTCAAATCTGCAGCAGGGGATTCGTGCTGACTTTCGCACAGCCCGGCAGTCTTGTGTCCAACCCCTCCCGTGTTCACGGAGGCCCCCGCCCCAAGTGGACTGAAATGATGGAACAGAACAACATGAATTGAGTCGTGCGCTTCAGGAGTACCAATGGCGCAGCACCTTCCCCTCCGGTGTGCAGCTGCGCAGCTACAGCGGCTGCAGCCTGGGGCCTGCAGACGCGCGGGGCAGCCGCGCTTTGGACTGGTGAAGGGGCGTGTCAAGACAGGGTTCGGGATTGCATTTGTTTGACCTCGTGTATCAGGTGGTTGCTTTCCCCAAAAAACCCAACCCTAGGTTGAAATCTACCCTGGGGCAAGCAACAAGTGATAGGGGCTTGAACAAGGTGGAGAATACCTTGACTTTGGCAAAGGGTTGACATGGGGCACACTAGCCAGAGTACCTTGTGTGAGTGTGTGGGCGTGTTTATCCCCTGGCACAGATCATTCAGAATGCGCAGGCCTGAATCTTGGCTGTGTCTCTGGTTGGACACTTTCGATATGACTTCTTCCCAGTCCAACAGGGACCGGGTGGTGTTTTTGTTGACCTTGGTCAAAAGGCAACACCTTAGAAATCATGTCTTTTCTCCAAGTACTTCTTGGACCGGGTTTCTTTTGTAACGGGAATTTAAGTTGGGAAGCCGTGCATTTCGACGTTTTCTGCAGCCCGAGGCAGTCTCCTCACGCTGACGCTGGTCCTGCCAGAGCCAGAGGCGGACAAAACCGACGGCGTGGTGCAGCTGGTGCCGCAGATTCTCGAGGGCTTTCGGGTGGCCGATTAGAATCGGCGACTCGCCGAGGCCCGGCGTGGGGGAGAGCTGAGGCTAGCAAACCCCGCGTAGCTGAGGGTTAGTAAGGGACAATCCGAACAAGAGATAGGTGTGGAGAGAGTTCAAGAGCGCTAGTGGCGATTTTGGCGATCAAGCATTCTATTCCGCTTGCAGAGAGTGTCGTGAGCAGCTCCAAGATGCCATATGCTGCGGATCGTTGGAGCGTCGCTCGCAGGCATTTGCAGATGGAGTTGCTGGCCACTGCGTTGCAGGGTGATTTCAGGAAGCCGAGTAGGGCAGGTGGCACCATCAGGAGTGGTGCCCTTGCCATGTGTGCTCGGGACTCTCTTCGTGGTGCTGCACATGGAGTGCACGCCCCGACTGCCTCAGCCGGAGTTCGCGGCTGCCGTGCGAGCCAGATGTGGTCATCGGTCCCGATGGTTCAGCGCGAGGCAGTCGTTAAAAAGCGGCAGAGGAGACAAGAACAACAAGACATGCCGATGTAAGGATGAGGATTTGGGCAGAGCTGGGGTTTGGGCAGTAGAACTGTAAGGGGAACATTGACTTATGCCCATTTGCTCATTTGCTCCGTTTGCCCAAGGAGCTGTGCTGATTCAGATGCCTGCCGGCTACATCCACCGTTTGGAGCCTGCGCCCAAGAGGGAATCTGGCTTTCAGATCTGGTCTTCTAATCGGGTGTGCTGATTGTGAAAGGTGCCCATTCTTGGGGGGTGGCTTCAAGGAACCAAAAGGCAACCACCATTCTTAGGGGGTTCCCTATTGTGAGCCACACCCAAATGGGGAACGCCAGCTCCCCCCCGGGATAAATCAGGTTCCACCGTATACCGCTCAAGCCCCTCCCATGAACTCAGAAACTGCGCCTCGGCCGAAAAGCTCAGGGCTGTGGAGGACGTGGTCATCGTTCAGAGGGGGGCGACTAGCCGCTTTCCTATTGCCACCGCGAAGGACGCGGCACCAAAGGTTCATGGATATCTTTCGCAGGGGCATGTCTGTGTTTTGGGGTTGTAAAGGGAGACCGCAAGGACCTCACAGAGCACTTTTTTTTTCTCGCGAAATCGGTGCCTGCAAAGCCCGAGCTGGCAGTTGTCCTGGGGTGGCTTCAGGACGGGAGTGCTGTGCAAACCAGAGCTGCGGACAGCATCAGAGCCGCGGGCTGATTTTGCATGGGATATGACGCGGTCAAGGTGCCAGAAGTAGATCATTTATGGTAGATCCCTCCAAATCTTGCGAGCGAGGATAAACGTGCCTGTTCTTCAGTGTGCATTTCATGGTAGTTAGAGCAGGTACCTGCATGCTACAAAGCGTCCCGCAACTGCCCTTTGCTATTCCACCATCCAGACATCCACAACCCCGTCCAGCCCTGGTTGGCTTGGGGCCGCACACCAAGCAACTGCACCTGAGGTTCTCTTGGGTGCAGGAGTGGAGCTCTCAGGGATTCTTAGGATGAACGCGAGTTGCTTGCTCGTTCTCACGCCTGCCCAATTCATCCCTGGGTATCTTGATGCACCGGAGAGCGGCTTCGTGTGCAATCCTGTCACTACCCAGGCCCTCCCAACAGATAAAGCCCTTACGTGGGTGCACAGCCCCTTGAACTGTCCAGCACGGAGCAATCGCAGTGCACAAGCAGACATCAACTAAGGCAACTGTTGCTGAAGGCGGCTACGGGCAGAGCCCTCAGTCTAGCAGCTGCAATTGTTGCGACCAGTCAACAGCTCGCTCTTTTCTTGCACCACTAGACCTATGATCATCCGAGGGGACCTGAAGCAGCCGTTGACTCGCATTTGCCTTCTGCCAGGTTTGAGATTCCCATCAGCATGCCGATGACGGATCCCATCCAGACGCTCGGCAGAGAAGCTCGAGAGGAGTATTTACGCGCCCCTTCAACGGGCGAAATCCATGTTTCGCGTGTTTACAGGAATGTGCGAACTGCGCCACGTGCCTTGACAAAAAAGAGGCAATGTGTAATATGTATGGGAAGGACCTGCTGTTACCTGGCGAATGCGAGGAATATTTGGACGGTGTCGCTGTGCTCTGGAATTTACTGTGCCTTGTCCGCATCGAATCAAATATATAGATGTACTTGACTGCTTGGCATGTTGTGCAGCTTCCATTTAGATCTCTTGATTGTAGACGTGGAATAGCAGGCCCATGTTGGGCTGCTGGATTTGCAGCAATGCAGGCTCCAGATTCTTGTTCACCTGTGCAGTGCTCTGAAAGGATTCGCGAGGTTCTGGCCGCCGCTTCCGCGGACAGCATGATTGTTGGTCTGAGCTCCCACTGTTCATGATGGCAACCCAAATGGCATCAGGCAGCTCAACAAAGCGGATCCGTTGTGCGAACAAGCCGTGCCATTGGGTGCACCCAAATAACATCCGCCTGTTTTCGGAACAACCCTGTGGAGCCTTTGAGACGTTGCTTGGATTTTACATATATTTTTTGGCGTACCCGGGGCGATCTTCAAAGGTGGGCCCGCCCCCCGCCCTTCCGAGCTACTCAGGCAATGGTCCCAGGGACTCCTCGGCCAGGGCCCCACTTCTACCCAAGTGGGTGAAGGGTTCAACGCACGATTGTGGCAAGCATGCGTGGACTCCTTTGAACTAGAGACATGAGGATTGCTAGGAAGCTGGGCAGCCACATGCATTGGTAAAGCCACTCGCTTCTCTCTCGAATCAGTTGCCATGCACCTGAGCCTGTTATTCACATTGTGCGTTTGTTTGCTGGGTATTAAAAAGCATGTGATGATTCGGTGAATCTGAAGAGGGAGAGAGAGAGAGAGAGAGAGAGAGAGAGAGAGAGAGAGAGAGAGAAGAGAGGAGAGGGAAAAAGGCACAGAACGGAAGGAAGGAAAGCAAGCAAGCAAGCAACCCAGGAAGGAAAGGAATGAAGGAAAGAAACAAACAAGGAAAGTCATACCCAAAGAAAGGCCTAAAGACAGCAAGAGACAGGTAGAAGGAACAACATAAAGAGAGGGCGAAAGAAGCAGCGGCTCCCGCATTTCTGTCACACCCACCTCCGCGTGGTGGCTCCGCTTTTGGGAAGGGCTGCGACTAGCTACGTGGCCCCAGGTGGTCACCAGCTTTGCCATTGCGGGGTTCCACATTGGCCCGCGCCTGACCATGGCACACTGATTTGAGTGTGTTAAAACAGGGGACCTTCAAATGACGGTTTTCCTTTCCGTTTCCCTTTGCCACTGCAGGGTTCAGGAATGAAAACAAGGCCTCTCCATGGAACAGTCCGGAACAGTGCATTAGATTCACTTGCCAACCGTGGTTCATCCATGTCTTGTTTCTTTGCGATTTGCCATATGGCCATGGGTCATAAACTATGCCGATCCCATTTTGGGGCGGATGAACACCCATGTACCACCTATTTTGATGTTCACCAGTACGGGGTTTTGACCCACATATCGCCTTCCCATGTGGCACAACTGATAGTTCTCACCGTGCCCGCTCGCCGGTGTTGAGCGCCGCTTAGGCGACCGGCCAACCCTCCTGCGGCCAAGACTGGTCTCTGGCGGAAGGACTTCAAAAGCGGGGCTTTTGGATGCTGTAGATGCTGCGGAGACTTGCCTTTGCTTCTTTTCTCTCCAGAAGCCAGTTTGCCAAGAGACTGGCCCCCGCATGAGTCACCTCACAATCTTATTTCTTTGCCGAATCTACTGTTTATCTTGGAAGTGGACCGCCCAAAGTACCCACCAAGTCCAGGACCCACCCATGTCCTGCTGTCCTTTCGAAGCAAGTAATGTTGTTGCAAGGACTGGGAGACTGGGCCTGCTTGCGCTGATTTCCATCCTGATGGTGTGAGTCGGAGGAATGGAAGTTCTAGCAACACAGGGTGCTCCTGTGCCGTGCAAACTGGCTGTAGATAGGTGTTCGCTGTTCTGAAGCCATGCATAGGCGACTACTCATTTGATTGCGCTTGATGACTTGTCAGTGTTTGACATGATTATTGTCCATGACTGGCACGATTATGCTTGCAGCAGGCTGCTTTGAGTCGTGCAAAGGTCACGCACGTTAATGCTTCCTCGGCGGGCCAAGCCGGCCGAGCCCGGCTGTGCCGGGAGTGCTAGGGGAATTGATATTTGACAGCAGCTAAGCTGCACGGCTTCGCATTGTTTCCTGACCTCTGAGCCTCAAAAACATTGTTAGTAAGAACCAAATTACTGACGTGCCACAGGTCCTTAATCGGCAAAGGCACTTGAACATGAAAGACAACTCGAAGCGAGGGTCATGGTGTGACTGTCGTCTATTACCCATCTCAATGTCACCAGTTATATTCAAAAGCAAGAGCAAACTCCCAAGGAGGCGCAAAACAGCATGCGTACGACGTGTATAGTGCTCGGCTTGAGTCGCTACCAGCTGTTGCTGTTACAGTTACAACGCATTATTAGTAGGACCAGGATACTAGGCGTGTCTTTCGAATTTCAGCCAGAGAACGAATTTGAACACAGAATTGGATCAGGCCCCACACAGCTGGACAACTTTGCGGACTGGCTCAAGCATTGGCTGGAAATCAAAAACTGCCATGTGCTCTTTGAAGGGCAGGAGTCGCCCGAATACTCACCTAAGTGACAGCTTACCCATTTTGGCCGTGGAGCAAACCGCTTGTGGCAAGCGGAAAGAACACTCGACCTTCTGTTTTGGATGTACGAGACACATGCCTCCAATCATCCAAGAAGAAGCTACTAGCAGACTAGCAGACTAGCAGACTCGCAGGCAAGGAAGTGTACGCAGAGGGGACGTGCAAGGCCCAGCCGGCAAAGCCCTGTGGCTCTTGCGAAACATGCCGGGCACCTCTGTGACGACCTCGGGGCTTCGACTCGCTGCTGGGATTCGTGCTTCGTGAAGCACAGCTCATTCTTTCGCAGCCATACAGCAATCAAACAAGTTTATGCATACATATATATATATATATACACATTTTGTACACATCTTTTTTACCGGGTTACTTGTAGAGGAATGGGTGTTGTTTTTTTTGCTTAGCCCTGTCTTTTGCTTAGCCCTGTCCGACCCGGTTGGTTGGGTTGGTTGGTTGGTTGGTTAGTTGGCTGGTTGGCTGGTTGGTTGGTTGGTTGGTTGGTTGGGTTCTCGGCATTTCGGCCTTCGGAACCGATTTCCGGATGGGGCATTAGTCACTCCATTGCCTGGCCCCCCGAAAGAGCAGCACACAAAGCCCACTCTGTTTTGGACTTCGGGACCGACTTCTGGAGAATAGAAGGCACGAGAAACTAAAGCCACCAAAATTATCATCATTTGACATGCTGGGCCGCCAGTTCGCGCGGGGGGTGTCTCTCTTTTGCTGTATGTTTGGCATTCACAAGTCCACTCTTAGCCATGCACTCCCGCTGGTACTGGCTGAAGCCTGGTGCCTAGACACTGTTGCGCTACAGCAACAGTGTCTAGGCACGAGGCTTCAGCCAGTACCAGCGGGTGCACATGGAAACTCAATACTGGACGCCCTTGGCTGTCGCGCTGTACTATTGCTGTAGCGGAAAAGTGTCTAGGCACCAGGCTTCAGCCAGTACCAGCGGGAGTGCATGGCTAAGAGTGGACTTGTGAATGCCAAACACACAGCAAAAGAGAGACACCCCCCGCGCGAACTGGCAGCCCAGCATGTCAAATGATGATAATTTTGGTGGCTTTAATTTCTCGTGCCTTTTATTCTCCAGAAGCCGGTCCCGAAGTCCAAAACAGAGTGGGCTTTGTGTGCTGCTCTTTCCACTCAAGATCACCCTGCCGCCCGGACATACTCGGATCATCGGATCATCGGATCATCGGATCAGCGGATCATCGGATCATCGGATCAGCGGATCAGCGGATCAGCGGATCAGCGGATCAGAGGATCAGCGGACCGTCGGACCGTCGGATCATCGGATCATCGGATCAGCGGACCAGCGGACCAGCGGACCAGCGGATCAGCGGATCAGCATCGGATCAGCGGATCATCGGATCAGCGGATCAGCGGACCGTCGGACCGTCGGATCATTGGACCATCGGATCAGCGGACCAGCGGACCAGCGGACCAACGGATCATCGGATCAGCGGATCAGCGAATCAGCTACCGGATCAGCGGGCCATCGGATCATCGGATACGAGCGGAGCCGGAGCAACAGCGGTCCAGCGAACAAGCTAGTTAGCAGAGCATCGGATGAGCGGACCAGCGGATCATCGGACCGATCAGCGGGTCATCGGATTAGCGGACCGTCGGCTCAGCGGATCAGCCAACTGCCGCTCTAACCGACGGAACATCTGATACGGGCATCAGCACATCAATAGGTCAGTTACTCAAGCAGCTTGTCTTTTCCGACATCCAACATGGGGGAGCAACACATCAACAGATTCGCTCAAGCGGCTTGTCTTTCCCCGGTCAAGACGTTGTTGTGGCTTTAACCGCCCTGCCACTGGCGCCCAGCACCATCGGACCCCCGGACACTCCGCCTGGGAAATCTCTAAAGACACGACAGCCTGGAGCCTGTCCTGCGCAGGTATTGCTTGATCACGGGGGAGGACGACGTCGTGGTCAACAGCGCCAGCTTCTTGCGCTGAATTAGCGCGCTGCTTTTGGAGAGGGGCCTGTTAAGGCTTGTCAGCCTCATTGGGTTGCCGGAAGATTTTTGCAACTTGATCTCCGTGCTGCTGTACCTGCATCTCCCGGATAAATTAGACAGCAAGCGGTGCGGTTGACGCTCTTCAAGCACTTGTCTCCTTCAGGCCAGCAGCAACCTTTGGCGATACGTTCTGTTGCGCAAAGAAGCCTGTGTTGAAAAACACGCGCTCTCTCATGCATCCTTAGGGTCGGGCCATGGAGCAGCGCTCTGCTTGTCTCGCTCAAATCATTGAGGATGCGGACCCAGCAGCGCAGGTGCCGCCTGCTGTTGCGCACCAGGTAGCCCAGCGGCTAGGCCGCGATGTTGGCCAATATCTACCGCTTTTTGGGGCCGAGACAGTGCTAGAGCAGCTGCTGCCGCTTCACAAGGCCTCTTTGAGCCGCTGTGACTCCAACAAGTCAGCCGCTGTACTTCTTCACACAACAGGCCCCGTCTCAAAGGAACACATTCCTCTGCGGTGCCGTCGGAAAATTTGCCCCAGCTACGGCAAGGTCGTATGGCACAATTACAGAGTCGAAGCTGGCAAGCACATCTTCATAGGCAACCCAGCCCAACTGAACACCTCGTCCTTCGGCTTTTCCGTTGAGTGGCTGGAGCAGTTTCATAGAAGGCTGGTTCGGCAACACGCAAGCTTCATCAGCGAAAGTGATGTCGCGCGTGAGCAGGCTGAGGCACATGGGCAAGAACACCTCCTGCCAGGCGCACGATTGCGTTTGCTGATCAGTGAAGGTTGGTTTAAGTGGCGCCTCTTGCTCAGATTGCAATCCTGCGGCCTCCTGTCTGCGCCGCATACTTCGCTGGACCTTCGCCAAACTGTCGAGGAGTTGCTGGAGCCAGTCATGCAGAATTTCCAGGCAGAGTTCACAAAGTCGTCCGTGGGCAGAGCTCGTGAAGCTGGCATGCGCTGTGATGTGCTGGTCATGGATGGGAACGCCAAGAACAGAAGGGCTGTCTGCGCTTCACTTCTTGCAGGGTCCACACGGTCGTTGTCTTTGGCAAGAACTTTGCGGCATGCCTGTCCTTGCACACCAGTTCTTGGCAAAAAAAATGCCATCGCCACCTGAGCGATGGGACTGCGAATGTCAGCCAGGACAGGGTCTTGCACCGGTGTTGCTACGCAGGTCTGTTGCTTGTCTGGCAACTAAGCGCTAGCCTGCCAGCACGTTGGGTAATGCAACCCCCCGCTCGCGCTTGCCGGCTGGCCGTTTCTTTGCGCGATGCTCGCAGCGGAACGCTTCGGGCATTGTGCGTCCAGTTAGGTTAGATACGCAATGAGTAAGGAAGCGGTGGACAGGCAGTACTTGCCAGCCATGAAGTCCATGTGGGACGCGGTGGATAAGCTTGGGACCCTTGCGCGCACTCACTGCAACAGGGCATCGCTTCTGCCAGACCCGGGCTGTCCGGGCAGCCCGCCACGAGTTTCCCTGCGCTCTGAACATGTTGTCGCTCATGTGCCCCCTCACCAAGAACGCTACCATCCAGGCGCAGATGGGCGAGCAGTTGCCTGCTGCGCCAGGGACCCGGTCTCCAGGCGCGGCGCTGAAAATGCAAGCGTGAAAGGGGCTTTCCATTTTGGAAAGTTGTGAAGTACACGTATCCCACAGACTGTTGCCTGTCCCAAGCTCTGGCGCTGCTCCAGGCCTCACGAGGCCGTGTTGTCTACGGCAATAGCCAGTGCAACGCCCGAGGAGTGTGGTGATTTCAAGCAGGTGAAGAACTCTGCGAGCCTACCTGGTAACCAAGGTCTGTGGCGTGGACGTCAGTGGTTTGGAGTGCTTGGCAACCTTGATGAAACCTACGACTTTATCACTGCTTTTGGCTTGCTGTCCGACGAGACCACCAAGTCCACCAAGGCAAGCACAAAGGTCAATCCGCACCGGAGCGCCCTCAACAAGCTGCTCCAGTGCGCGGGCAACCAAAACCAGTGGCAGCTATGGGGATTCCTCTGGCATGGCATCTCCGTTGGAGTTGTCGGCAACATGCGCCCCGTGACCTACGTGCCCATGGAGCGCTCCGAGACGGGAGCGCGCCACGCTGCCACAAAAGAGCGCTTTTTGATATGCAGCGGCCGTCCGGTGCAGCCCCATGAAGACCTTCCTGCCGACTATCCCTTGCCTCCAGGAGAAGCGGGCGCGTGCGTGTTTTGTTTTCTCAGGGACCTTGTTCTCACGACGCAACAACATTTTCTGTTTGCAGCGCAGCAGTGAGGAGTATCCGCGCACCTCTGGGTGCCCTTGACTCCCGACGTCGCGGACATGATGGGCGTCGCCAAGGAAGCCCACCCCGACCCAAGACGATTTCATCCCCTCTGCGCACGGCTACCCCGTCCGCTTGTTGGATAGGACCATGAGTCGGCTTCGCTTCCGCCGGGACCCTGCCCAACCCATACATGCCAGAGTGGCGCGTTGCAAACAGATCCTTCCCTGTGCCAGATGCATTTGCTCTCGGGCCAGCTGTGAGAAGAGTCACGGACTACTTCTCTGACCCGCAGATGACCTTGCAGTTCACAGAGGATGCAGCCCAGTGGCGCATGTCATTTCAGGGCGGCCTCAACGCGCAGAGCCATGTTGCCCGTGAAAAAGAAACACTGTGTCTGGGGCTCGGATGGGAGCTGCTCCTTGGCAGATCGGCGTTCTGTCCGGGTGCCTTCTGGTCTATGAAATCTTTGCCGGTATCTATTCAGATCAGCAACTACAAGAAGTCTTTGCAGATCACTGCAGACCATCTCAAGAGAAGCTAGCCGGGCCCTCAGATTTTGAGAAAGTCTTGCTGTCTGCAGTGTGCAGCGGTGAATCTTCTAAGAGTTGCCGAGTCCAAGTAGCCACCGTAGCCTGTTCTTTCAACATGGCCGCATTTACAGATCCATCTGGCCCAGGTCCACGCTATCAAAGCCATCGCTTTGGGCGAAGAAGGTGCCAAGCCAGAGCCAGAAGCAGCGTCTGCCCAGCCTTTCGACTTGTCTACCCTGCACGTCCCCTACGCGGCTGAGCAGTTCAATCAACCGGCCGCGCATGAAAAGCCAGAGGGGTTAGAGGAGAGGAGCCAGAGGCGAGCCAGAGGAGCCAGAGGATGCGCTTTCTGCAGCCGACGAGCAGGAAGAAGCGCTGCGCGCGGCAGAGCCTCCACCGCCTGTCGGGGAGTCAGCCGGGCTTCAGGATGTGCGTTCCATGGACTTCGGCTATGGGGAAGGTGGGAAATCTGTCCAGCAATCTTTGCACGCCAAGCACTTGACGGACAGGTACGTGATGAAGATGACCTTGCTGAATGGAACCCCAAAGGTATCCTGCAAGCAGGCATGCGACAAGCTCCGCAGCTCTTGTGGCACGTGCCGCAAGGCTTTGCCAAAGACCAATTGGGTGGCAGTCATGAGAAGCGGGTGCAGCATGTGCCCTGTGATCACACTTGTTGGAGATGAGTTGCACCTGCAAAGCATTCCGCAAGACCCAACCCCGCGGCTCGAATACCACAATCATCTCATGAACTTGTCCCGCCGCCGCAAAGCGAAAGCGGGGAGGGGAAAATTGACCAGGTGGCACGGCAACAGGAAGCACCACGCCCGTGACAAAGAAAACTGCAGGGTCCGATGTTTGTTCTCAACTCTAAAGCCCCCAGACCACTCTTTCGCAGGACTTGCGCGTGGTCCGTCACCGACTACGACCAGATGGGGGCATCGACCTTGAAATTTCTGAGCTTGGCCCTGAAGCTAGAGCTGCTTGGGTTTCAGAAGGTTCTGTGAGCGAAGACTTACGGAATGAATACTTCAACCGTGCCGGACAAGCACGTCAGAAGCAAAGAAAGACAAATCGGACTGAGGAAGTCACCGCTGAGCGCGAAGCTTTTCCAGCTTTGTTTCTTCCAGATTCTTCCCAAGCAGACCTAGGGGCGGTCTCCTGCGCCACGCACAAGGAAGATTCTTCCCAGCTGATGTTGACCAAGACGGCCGGGGTGCTCTGCGTTTGTCTATCTTCAGGTATCATCGTTCTGCCTGGCCGCCGCAAAGGATGCGGTACCAGAAGCTGTCCTGCTGGTCTACGATGACAGCTGCCACCTCTACAAGTATAGCTTCAATCGCAGGGAGGCGCGGCGGGGGCCTAACTGGATAGCAAGCCGAGCGCCGCACTTCAAGTTTTGCATCCTGCGTTGGTCTGTTGAGTGCTTGCATGAACTAGCGGCGCAATCTTTCCACGGAAAAATTTGTTGACTTTTGGCAGGCATCGGCAGCTGCAGCGGCGATTGCGCCTCCTGCTATGGACTTTGCCATTGATCCTTTCCACATGGGAAGCCACACTGACGCCTTTTGTAAGGAGACCTGCCATCCAGATCTGCCGCACCTTGCTGAGCGGCTTGCGGAGATTCGCACCTCTGTGTGTGAGTTCACGTTCACGTGGCTGTCAGCATACCGGCATCAGTCCAAGCGCATGAACCGGTTCGGCTTTGCGTTCTTTCTCTTAGAGATGGCCTGGTCTCACAATGAGCGGGTCTTTCGCAAAGATGCCCCCGTAGACTTCACTGAGATAGCTGCGTGAGAAAAAGCGCAGCCAGCCAACTAGCAGCTTGCTGAGGGATCGATTGAAGGTGCTAGCGCAAGACCTCCGCTTGCTGATGGATCGACACTCACCTCTGTGTTTTCCTGCCCCCCGCATGAGCCTGCAATCCGCTCTTTGACACCGCAAAGGTCTTTCCGCCAATGTCGCTGAGGGGGCAGTGGTCCAGTCCGTCCCCATGAAGATGGTGGCCTGGCAGCACAAGGGGATGCGATATCTGCCGGTGCCACACGAACACACATGCGTACAACAAGTGAACAAATCGCAACGTTTCAAGATATACAGGCGCCAAGTAGTTGATCGGACCATTGGGTCATCAGATAGACCATCGGACAAGCAGATCATCGGACCACAGGATCATCGGACCAGCGGATCCGCGGACCAGCGGACCAGCGGATCATCGGATCATCGGATCAGCGGACCAGCGGACCAGCGGACCAGCGGATCAGCGGATCAGCGGATCAGCGGACCGTCGGATCATGATCAGCGGACCAGCGGATCAGCGGACCAGCCATCGGATCATTGGATCAGACAGCCCAGCGATCATAAGTCGCGCAATGGAGTGACTAATGCCCCATCCGGAAATCGGTTCCGAAGGCCGGAATGTCGAGAACTGTTGCACTCTTACTGTCCAGAGCGTGTCCCAACCAAGTACGTCCGGGTAATGAAACTGAGCCCCAGAACGGAGACTGGGTTAAGCAAAAGACAGGGTTAAGTAAAAAAACACCGTACCCTACTTGTAGATCAAAAGTATTCCACCCTGGGACCCATTCCGGACCACTTGCATGAAGCATCACTTTTGATGCGCGGGCAGCTGCGTGTTGCCTTGTATGGATGAAATTGAATCTCCGGCTTATTGCATGTGACATTAGCTGCTCAGCTCATGACATCCACCTGCACCCCACGGCACTCAGCAGGTTGGGGTTCCAATCACTTCGTACCCTTCTCCAAAGGTGCAGCCAATGGCTCGGGGAGGTGATCGCCAGGAGGCGGGGAGCTGTGTCAATTTTGCGTCGCCCGCAAGCAGTGCGAAAGGTCGATCGTGGGGCCCTTTTTGCAAGCCCGGCTCCGAGTGAGGTGCGATTTTCGCAGACGCGGCCGGCGCAGCATGCGGAAAATCAATACGAGGGCCTGTTCAAAGGGCAAGGCGCCCAAGTTGCAGCTGACTTTGCAGCGATTCCCAGGTGACCACAGGTCAGCAGCGCACAGCAATCTGTTCTATCACCTAAGACAATTTGGATTTCATAGGTTTTGCATTTGATGTCCCATCCTGCAGTCGGCTTTTGTTCCATGCATCATAGCCTATCTCTGCCAACAAGGCGTGTAATCCATGAAGCCTTGAACGTTGTTGGGCCGGCAGGACTGGATGGCACTGATGTTCTCGTTTTCTGAGCCACGTTGACTGGCCAGCTCTGGTTTTGCTCGTGATCTTTAAGCTTGGCCCAAAGTGTTGACTTCCATAATGAGGTTGAAGGGATTGTAGATGGTTGAACATCGCGTTCAAGCTCCGAACGTCAAGACTTTGCCAATCCCCTGGTACTGCCAGTTTTCAGTGGGACGCTGTTCCTGGCCGCAGCCCAGATACCAATGATGTCGATCTGCTTGATACCGGACCCCGCAGACATTGCATGGGTTCCCTGTGATTCCCTTCTTGGTGGTAGGTCAGCTTCTGGGCCAACAAGCGACCCTCCTTTTGCTGGGGTGATACTTGAAGGGGACATATTTCTGGAGCATCACCGAGGATGGGCGCCACCTCGAAGGAGGTCATTTGCAGCAAGAAGGCCTCCCAGACCAAGAGGCGGGCTGTATGTGTGTGTGTGTGTGTGTTTTGTATTTGATTTCTGGAAGAGGCCGTTGACACAGCCAAGGATCCAAGGGAGATGTCTCGCCGAAAGTTGTGTCTCAATCAACAGCTTAGCCTTGTGGGTCGACGTGCGATGCTGCCAAACTGCAAATCTCAGATGTGCAAAGCCTTGATTCCTGCCAATTCCTGTGAGGCTTCATGAAGCTACCCACTTTGCCATTGGTTGTCTCGAGCTTGGCACGGCGTGAACATTGGGGTTGGCTTACCTGGCCATGGGGATGTCCACCGCCGCACCTCCCAGGGAACCGACTTTGGCGGAAGACAGGGAAACTCGTGGCTGCGCCGAAGCGAAAATTGCAGTGGGCCGAGGCCAGAAGTGGGACGAAAACACTCGGGGCGCATCGGTGAGCCACTCCACCTTTGTTGACCCGGAGGCTGGGCGCCGTGCGAGGGCTGCAAAGACGCACCTCCGACTCTCTTTGCACAAAGGGCACCGGGAGATGGGGGATGCCTCAAAAGGTTTGGCTTCTTGCCAGGTGAGATTCGGTCAACGCATCCAAGTAGTTTGCGGTCCATTTGGCAAGGCCCACTTCCCTGCCGGACCAAACGGGTCTCAAACAGAAATCGAAAGGGACACCGTTGTTTTTGGAGCCTCCTATTTTGACATGTGTCCTCATATATGTGCTGTTGTTCGTTGGGGCGGTAGTTTAAACGTCTGGGAGCCGCAGATTGACACCTCTCAGGTGGTCTACGCCACCTGCGACGCTCCTGATAAGAACATGAGCGTCGTGGAGCTGAGGCAGCGCGGGCCTCAGAATGAATTTCGGCAGAGTGAGGTGCGAGCTGTGAGGGCTATGCGAAAAAAGCAGCCTTTGGACCTGCTGGGAGGGATTTCCTTTGACCTTTGGACCTGCTGGGAGGGATTTGAACCTCGCAGTTTTGGGCTCCTTCGGCTCGCAGCTTCCGCTTCCGCTTCCGCTTCCACGTTCTGAGGCAGGCCTTCAAGCCGGAGACGCACTATCGCACCGAGCAGCGCGACCGGTTTGAAGATCCCGGGCCACAGCCTCCGAATGACACCCTGACTCCTCCAGTGACCGTCGGCGGCTTAGATGGCATGTGATTGCATGGAGAGCGTCTGAGCCGCCGGCCGGCTCACCACTTGACATCCAAGCTGCGAATACTAGACAATTGTGGATGTGTACATAAAGTACATGTATGTGAGTGAAATCACACACATATGTCATATGTTTGGCCTAGACCCGTTGACATGCATCGTTTGATGTTGGTGTCCGTGCTTAGTATTGCTAGTGCTGCATCGTTACTTCTATCGCTAGTGTTAGCATGAACACTAGCAACACCATTCTTGTCATTATCACTATTTTCATCATTGTCATTAGCATTGTCTTGTGAGGGACAGGTTTTTCATTGTGATTCTTTATTATATCTTCACTGGTATCATTCTTATCACCATTAATTCATCATCGTCGTCAAACAATATCATCGACATGATCAGGGTTATAACTATCGTGATCCAATGAATCTGACTGGCAAGACCAATGAATGTGTGCTTGCTACCAATCGCGGTCTACGGTCAACATGTGCAGATCTTGAGGATTCGCTGGCGAGCATGCCAAGGCACTCAAGCTGTGAGGTTCCCAGGCAAGAACATGTTTCAAACACACATGATGATGATGATGATGATGATGATGATGATGATGATGATGATGATGATGATGATGATGATGATGATGATGATGATGATGATGATGATGATGATGATGATGATGATGATGATGATGATGATGATGATGATGATGATGATGATGATGATGATGATGATGATGATGATGATGATGATGATGATGATGATGATGATGATGATGATGATGATGATGATGATGATGATGATGATGATGATGATGATGATGATGATGATGATGATGATGATGATGATGATGATGATGATGATGATGATGATGATGATGATGATGATGATGATGATGATGATGATGATGATGATGATGATGATGATGATGATGATGATGATGATGATGATGATGATGATGATGATGATGATGATGATGATGATGATGATGATGATGATGATGATGATGATGATGATGATGATGACTGAACACTAGTCATGTTGACAGCAACAATGAAACCCACAGATACATATGTGTACAGAGACTAATCATATATGTATATATATATATATACATATCTACACACGTGTCCAAAGCCCAATCCCGAAGCAAGCTTTCAAGACCAACCCAAAGCCAACCCTAAACCAACTCCAACCAACTCCAACCAACCCCAAGCATTCCACAGCGGGAAGGGGGGGATGGAGCATGTTCCTTGGACTTAACCTCTAGCGGCTGTCTGTTGCTCGAGGTGCACCTAGGAGACGACAGGCCTGGGGCTGCACAGCGGCTGCCTTTCGAAAGGGGTCCCTATATTTTCCCTTTTCGCCGGCTTCAATATTGCCCAAAAGGGCCACTTGATGAGTTTCCTTTGGGATGCAGGGGGAAATGCAAAAAGACGTATTTGAGGGTATTTCTCTTGGCGGATTGCTAGGGAATAGTGCCATCCACTTCCAGCCTGGGGAGTTTGCTCATTTGGAGGCAAGCCCACATGTCTTGAAGTGTAAGATATCACCCCCTAAGTGCTGGCTTAAGGGAAACAACCCCAGTTCTGACTTTGACAACCCCGAGAAACCGTCAAAATAATGACCCCAGAAAGAGGGAGCCCGTGAGAGGTTGACAGGAAACGTGTGGAAGCACATTTCTGGGTCCTGGCACGCTCGGGGTGAGGGGCCAGTCCGTTTCGTGCAGGCCGAGCTATGCGCTCCAGTCGCACTCTGTGCACAGGCGGATGTTCGACACCGCTCCTTGGCAGAAATGAGTCTGGTGAGAACCAGCCAACTTGCATGCTTTCATTTCTTGGCACGATGTCCTCATCCCATGCAGTCCGCTGATTTCAGTTGCAAGTTCTACAACTTTCGTCTGGAACGCCGCTGCTTTGAAGAAAGCAGCCCACTTTTGGCTGGTTTCGTAGGAAATGAAAGGGACAGCCGCCATTTTTCCCCCCAACTTTGCGAGACAAGCCAACGTGCAGTTGCTTGCGAGGAGGACCACCAGCAGGCGAAAGCCTTGCGCGCAGCTGGCTCTGGCGTGCTGATCCCTACATCTGTTTGGCCAAAGCACCTTGGCAGGAAGGTCGAATTGGAACACATGTTCAGGTGAGCTACAATCAAAACCCGGTAGATGAAGGTTAGTACCTTCTTAATTCTTTACATTTTTCTGAGTCAACCATTTTAATACCGGGTTTTGATTGTGACTCAGGCAGTGCAGGAGTTTGTCCATAAAGCAGTCGTGTTGCAAGACTTTCTTGTGTTGCTCACGGAATGAAAGCTCATGAGGCAACAGAGGTGGTGTTGCACCTGCGGTGTCTTTCTTGACTGCCAATCCCGACTTGTTCCTCAAACCTCCCAATCCTCACCGCTTTTGCATTCCCCTCGCAAACAAGAACCGAGCTTCGCTCTGCTAGGCCTGTGCGCTGCAACCCAGTGACCGGTGGTCCTCGAAGCGCGGCGCCCAACGGAGAATGGCCTTGGCGACGGTTTTCTGACGGCCTCTCAAAATAAATGGACAAGAGGGCCCTCAGGTCTTGAGGCAATCCTCGAGGCGATTTCTGAGAATCGTCTAGAAGCGTGTCTCAAGCTTGCATGAAAGTTCTGTTTGTGATTAGTCCACCCCGACCACACTACATCCAGTTGTGGGCACTGCTTCCCCAGCCAGATGTGGACATCTATGACCTGGGCGTGGCCGGCGGCGTGCGGCATGACCGCGTCAGCCAGAACAGCTCGACCATCGTCCAGGAGGCCAAGGGTGCTTTGTACGGCGCCTTCGGGGAAGGGCTTGCAGTGCTTAACCAGCAGAGTTCATTTTCGGAGTGGGCTCCTTGACTCATTTGCTCGTAAAGAGGCTAGGATGGGCGCCGATCTGTTGGTGTTTTTGTTTGCTTGTCTGTCTCTCTGTCTGCACTCCCCCAAAGGCTTGCTCAGCCAGGCCCACGTGCGGAATCCGATCTCTGGGCCAGCAGCTGAGCTGGGTCCACTTCAATTAAGAGAGCTGCGGGTGAGCATCACGTGTGGTTTGAGGGTATCCATGGTATCCTATTCACCTCGGTTGCAAGGAAGCTAGCGGAAAACCACCATTTGGGGACGCCCATATTTTTTGACGCATACCCACCTGTCCATGAGGGAAAGCCATGCTAGCCATTCGGGTTTTCAGGAAATCTGACCACATGGGCTCAAGGTCCAGCCGCGGGCAGCACTTGTAATCGGTAAACATCCTCTCGTGCAAACTAACATGGAGGCGAAGCAGGATGTGGAAATTTGCAGCCAGGACAGCACTGCAAGCGGAGGCAGCAGCAAATGGAGCTTGAGCGTGAACTCTGGTTCCGAGGTTCTTCCCACTGGCAAGTTCAGGCGCGGCGGCATTCTGCCCACCGCCATTTGCCTCAGCAAGGCGGCGATCGGTGCTGGCGTGCTGTCGGTGGCAGCGCATGGCGCCCAAGTGGGCGCTGTGTATCAGTTGGGGTGCCTCGTGATGGGTGCACTACTCACTTTGGCCAGCATCCGCATGATCGCGAACGCCAGTGTGGAGACAGGCTGCTGGAGCTATGAGGACATTTGCGAGGAGCTGTTTCACCCGGCCATGTCGCTGCTCACAGGCTTCATCAACGTCTGCAACTGCCTGGGATCAGCCGCTGGGTATTTGATCGTGTGTGGCCAAGTGTTTCAGGTGATCTTCCAGGCAGATGACCGGGCCCGGAACATCTTCGTGGTGCTGATGGGCGTCTTTGTGTGTGGGCCTTTGGCCTTGGCCCGCCACGTCGGCTTCATGCGGCACCTAGCGGCTCTCAGCGTGGGAGCTTTGCTGCTGCTGGTGGGCTCGGTGTTGTGGTACTGGGCGCAGCACGGCATCGACGAGTCCATAACAGTGGACAGCTTTCTGCTCCCCAGCTCGGGCGCAACGGTGTTCACCTACATGAACTCGATCAATAACATGGTCTTCGCCTACAACAACCAGTTCAACGTGCCGCAGCTCACGGGGGAGTTGACTCCCGCCCCGTCGGTGCACAAGATGTCCATGGTGGCTTTGTTGAGCACGAGCCTGTGCTTTCTGCTCTATGGGAGCGTGTCCATCTTTGGAGTGCTGGCATTTGGCGTGGGCGACAATCAGAAGGACACGCTGATCCTGGATCTGATGCCGGCGCGCAAGGAGTGGCACGTGGTGGTGTCCCTCTTTGCGGTGATGTTCAGCGTCCTCACGTGCTTTCAGTTCCACGTATACCCCATCCGTCAATTCTCCGCCTACGCCGTGCGCAAGCTTCGGGGGCTTCCGGCCAAACCCGAGGAAAGCGAGGAGCTGGACCTCGCGGTGGATGGATGCTGTGGCCGGTCGCTGGCGCGGTGGCTGGATATCGCCTGCGCCTTGGGGGCCGTGGCGGTGGCCATCCTGATCGCAGTGGTGGTGACTTCCCTGCGGACCATCCTGGACTTCATCGGTGCATTTGCCTCTGCATACATCTCCTATGTGGTGCCACCGCTGTGGATCCTTGCTCTCCGCAGGAAGGGCAAAAACTTCTCTTGGCTGGCGCCGGAGATACTCTTCAGTTTGGCGTTGCTGTCGCTCGGCGTCTTCTTCTTCGTCTTCGGCACCTACTCTGCCATCAAGGGGTAGTCTGGGTCTGGGCTTTGGCACCACCAGTTCAAGTAGCCGGCGTCCGATTTCGAATTCGGGATTCTTTGCATGGCTTGTATGGTTTTGTATAGTCTAGGTCATATAGGTTGGTTTGCACGTTTGCTTCTCCGCTAGGGAGACTCTCCTGTTCCTAAGCACCTAATCCGGTGGAAAGCCCATCCTTGTATAGGGATAAGGGGTGTTTAGCTTACGGGGGCTTGCTCATGGTGTGGATTCTCAATGGAGGGTCTATGCTACGTCAGCCACAGCGCTGGCTCCATCAAGCGTTCCATGCCGCACATGCGCAGGCTTGCGCGGGCTCTCAATGGGAACAAACAAATGCGACGATTTGTTTGGGCATTTGACCCCAGCGAATGGCCACTGCAGTTCTCACCGAGCAAAGCGCAAGGACCGTGAGCTACATGGCAGAGTACGGCAACCCCCGGGGCCAGCTCGCCAGGCTGTCTGGGAGTCTGGGAGGGCGCAGAGGGCGCGATCCTGGCCATGGGCAGCCGGACATGCCTAAAATTTCCCCATGCTTTTCCAGCGTGCTTTTGAGACTATCTCGCAACGTGCGCAGGCCCGCTCTGCAGGAAAGTAGTCTGTGCACTTCCATGTGGTGGCAGGCGGATACCTTGTTGTAAAAGGTATAGGCCCCTTCCAAAAGGGCAGGTTTCCTCTGGGAGGCATGCCAAGCTGGTCCCAAACAAGGGGGCGAGAGGGCCATCCTTGGAATGTTGCAAGGCTGCCGGGACTAAACGAGGCATGTAGTGGATCTTGGGATAGACGGATCCCAGGATGTCGCAAGGCTGTCATGCACGGGTTCAAATTTGCATGTAAACCGAACCTTTGACCACAGTTCGGCTGCGTCGGTTTTAATCATTGGCGGCACAACCAGGGCAGATTAAATGGAGGATTTGGTGGGTGTAGCAATTCTATGTTCGCTTCTCAGGAGCACCCAGGAAATCGTGGAGCAGGCGAACCAGACCGTGCCACCCTTGCGATCCCTTGCCGCTGTTCGGCCAGTTGCTCAGAGTGAAGCCTTATTTTCATTCTCTGCGTTTCTGTGCCCTCCCAGTCTCAACCAATGCCTTTTCGCTGAACAATAAACATTTGACCACTGAGTAGCAGACCTCAGTTGCCATCCCGTGTCTTGGTCGTGAACAACCCTGGTAGCAAAGTCAGTTGGGCAGATAATGTAGCAGGCTCCCTTTGCTTGTCGCACGGACCAAGGCCTCACTGTTGAGAGTTTCACTGCGTTCGGAATGCTGCGAGTCTCACCAAGCTCGCTTAAACAGACGCCTCTTCCATCCGGCTTTCTAAAGCGTTTTACAGCTGGGATTGGGTGCACCAGGCTGCCAAGGGTCGATTGCCGTGTGTCAAGGGTACGTTTGCTGCATTTCTGCAGCCCAGTGGACCGGGAGCCGCCAGATTTCACGATTCGTGTCACAGCTTAGCGATTTGCATGTTTCACCAACCAGATGCAAGCCAAGCCGATTGACATTGTACAGCAAACGTAACAAAATCCCAGCCTTGTTGCTGGCACCACTCCTGACACTCCTTCCTTTTAGAATAGCAAACGGCCCATCTCTGGAACAAGGTTTTCTGGCGCTTCAAAGATCAGACTCCTTGTGGGGGACGGCGGGTCTCCGAGAGCATTCAGCTTTGCATCGACAGTCCACAGCCATGAGCATGGCCAATTCGGTAGCGGGTTCAAGCACTTTGTTAATTGGGGAAATGGCATGACCCCTGCATAAACCATTCAAATACACCAGCCTTGACCCTCAGCAGCATGCGTGCAGCTTATACAGCAAGGTCTTGTCAGTTCCACGAGCATGGATAACAACGGGTCTCCTGATAATGCTTTGCACACCACTCGTCCGAACGGGTGCGCGGACGCCACCGCGCTTCACGCAAGCCTGTGCTACGTACGACAAGCACCTGTGCTATTGACCAGATCCTGTCACGGGCAGATCGATGGGTCGATTTCGCTGAAACGGACTTTGTCTCCCAATGCGCAGATTGTGAAGGGAGACGCAGGGAAAACATGTTAGCTGCGGGGTGCCTGCTCCGCTTTCGGAGACTGGGATGGCCTTCCGGAGGCCAGTCGGGTCTTCGGGTTGGAACCCTTTCCAGATTTTCAGCCTACAAGTCCTTGTGGCTAAAAAAATGTACCCTCCTACCAAGTAACATGGAACCTGACAAGGGGGGTCCCTGGTATATCACCCTTGAACATTTCTTGTTCACTGACAGCGAATGCCAGCTCTTTGGCGCCCAGCTAACAACTAAGTGAACATGATGCGCAATCGGGCCACTGCGATCTCATGTGGGGAAATCGCCCAAGGCTCAGACAACAGGTTTCAAGCGTGGAGATCACAGGTTGTTCTCTAGGGTGTCGTCCCCCAAAATGGCAAGGGGTTTCTTTGGTTTCCCTTTGAATGCCAATATAAGTTCTTGGCCCGTTTTTTCATTCGCGCGCGTTTCGCCGGCAGTTGGGCTCCGTGTAAGAAGGGCCAAAGGGGTGCCATGGCCGCCTCTTCAGATGAACCTGGGCCACCAGGCGCGGAGGTTTGATCGGTGCGATTGGCAGCACCGGGGTGTTGTTGCAGAGGTTTGGTTTGCGGCCGGAACATGAAGCATGAAGCTTGTAGTTGTTGACTTACTAGTGCTAAGCGCAGCCGGCACAACACATTAATGTGTGCCTCAGACCAAATGGCTGACGGACGAGCCGTCGGAAGAATACGTTGAACATGCTAAGAGCGTAGCGGCAGTATGTACTATGTCAGCAACATAAGCCAACATTTCACGCTCCGTTTGTATCAGAGGAGCTCACTGCGGCGGAGGCAGGAGGCGGAGGTGCGCCCGGCCCTCCAGCTTAACATCGATGCTTAGCCGGCCGACTTCAGACTGCAGGGGCTCCAGGATTGCATCAAGAGCTGAGCAGCCCACCCTGATAAAGGAGAAAGCCTGCGCAGAGGTACAGCCGACAGATTGTGGAGACGTTCGCTAATAAACAGGCCTCAGAGATGGCGGCCTCGCCATCCTGGGAATGGCGACTGCAGCGGCTGTCCAAAAAACCCAATGACCCTCTCGTACCTGGATCTGCGTCGGGCAGTTTTGATGGGCAGGGTGGCCCTCCTGTCACGCTCGCTCTATTTCATGTTCCCCGCGCTGGGGCTTCGTCTTCGTGGGCCGCTTCTGCCTCCTTCGCTTCTACGGGCTGTGCAGTGGGCCACGGCAGTGTGCCCCGCCTACTTCTTGCTGCGGCTGTTGTGGGTGTGGCAGGCCGCACTCCATCAGGCAAACCCAAATGGCCAACCTGCCGAAATTTTCACGGTGCAAAGAATGGTCGACTCGAGCCACTCGCGAAGGTCGCGAAGCAGGGCTTTTCTGCTGGGCGCTCAAGGATTGCAACCCCACGAAACGCACTGCAGCTCTGGAACTATACAAGGAAAGGTTTTTCTTTTTCGAGGGTGCGGCTCCCAGGGGTGACGCACAGGGCAATGGTTTTTGCCATGTTGAACCATTCGTTGACTCAACAAGACTACACCCAACATCCCGTCGCCGGATTCGGTGGAGTGTTGCGTTCCCTCTCCAGCGCCAGTGGCCCCCAGACCGAACCAGACGAATACAAACCTCTGGGCGCGCACACACAGCTTGAAGGAAAAGGACAGAGACTGCACCGGTTGTAGGGAGTACCGATTTGACATTTTCGCATTTGCTGACATTTTAACTACGGGCGCAGCAAACGTGCTTGCATGCTTCTAGGTGCGCAGCTTTTGACTCCAATTCGATAGTTTTACCAGGAAAGGGGCCCATCTGTTTGGAACTATTGGGCACGTCACCCGCAAAATTTTGCGTTTTTTGAAAGTTCTGGAGGCCCCGTAAAGGCGCAGATGCAGTTTTCTTCCCCGAGAACGGAGATAGCCATTGGCAGCAGTACTGAAGTCTACTCAGGGCAAGTCACCGTAGCAGCTTCCCTCGCCAGGCGAGAAGCGATTCGAAATCAAGAAGTGGAGCGCGGTCTACCCCTCCCGTGAGCGTGTCTGTGTGCATGTGCCGACCATTTGTTTGTGTTTGTCTTACAATCAGCAAATGAAGAAGGCCGGATTCCACCACCTTTGAAGTAGTTGCTACTCAAGAGCACCATGGACCACTCACCCCGGGCAGACTGTCCAGAGCATGGAGGTCAATCTTTGAAGAGCCAACCAAACTCCTGGTCAACAAACCATCGCCTCGCCGCCTCGCCGGCTGAATGCTGCCACAGCTTAAGTATGTTTGAATGGAGAAGACAGCTAAGGGTAGCCTGAACAACAGACCCAGGTGAATTATCGTTTGTGCGCAAGAGCAAAGTGGATACAATAGTCATAGCATGTCAAACTGGACTTATGTGGAAAGCTACAACACTTGTGAAATTGCGAATGAACACATGTTGGACCTTCTTTCTAAACAGGATTTCTTTGGTCCAGTTGATTTCACCAGTACTGCATGCTGTTCGGTTCCCAGGCGAGGAATCCGAACCAGGACTCTTGGCCATTGCCTGATGCGCGAATCAATGTTGGGGTAATATCACGAAGGCTCTGGCCAGCAAACAGGATGGTCCAGCTGGCCTCTCAACCACGAGGCTTGAGCTACGTAAACACTGCAAGCAGACCCGGCCCCATGATATCGCTATGCGAGGCAAGGGCCGCTTGGCAAAACGCCGGGCGAAGAGCATGTAGCGGATCGACAAATTCTGAACAGACCTCCTGTCCACAATGCAACAGGCCCTTACAAAAGATTCCATGTGGTGGATGTTGAGCACTTGTCTGAAACCAGGTTTTCCTTTGCAGCCACAACCAGGGGCACGGCTTCACTTTCCGTGGTGAAGGGTCCCGCCCAAGGCCCAGAAGCGCCGGATGAGGGCGTGCCGCACTAAGACTCGAGCCGTGCTTTTATTGAACCTGGAAGGCTCCTGAAAGGCACTGTGTGTTGTAGAAAGGTTTTCACTTAGGTCCTGGACGGGTATTTGGGAGATATGGTCGTGAAGCTTGGGGGGGCAGCCGAACACCTTCAACTTGAGCTGCCTCGTAAGGGGGCCATGTCTAAGCTTCATTGAAGGCCTTCCCGATGTAAGGAGTTGGGAATCGTTATACGACGTCTTGAATAGAGGGAACCACACCATGATTCTTCGCATCGAATTAGTTTCTGGAAGCCTGACTTGCACCTTTGAATTCTGATAGAGGAGATTCAATTACTATTTGGCAGCTTCTCGAGCTGGATCAAGTGGGCAGTTGTCTCAGGATGATGCACGGGATTTTCCGTTTGGCCAGGGGCGCTGCCCTTTCCTGCTCGAGAACGATGACAGCAAGATCGTAGCAGCCTTTGCGCTTGCATGTGGTTCGATTGACGCACTTCGGACATTGTGCCGGTCGCGCTCTGGCTGAGGTCATTTGCATGTGCAACTACTACTCCCTGGGCCAAGCTGAGGCCGGCCTGACACCCCAGAGCTGCGAATTAAACGCCGGACTCTTTGGTCAACGCTCCGGTATTGGATCACTTGTGCCGCCAATGGGGTCTTCAGTGTTGATTAGTCTCATTCACTCAGGTCATGGGTGCAGTTGTTTCCTCTTGAACAGGAGACAATCCCAACTGTCATAGCGTGGTGCACACGCAGGACTGTTGAGAGGAGACCAGCTTTGCTCCCCTTTTGTGGCTACAGCAAACGACGGTGGCGCTGGTGAACCCACAAAGGCAAGTGCCACCGCAATTTGGCCAGTTGGCACGGGCGCTCTTGCAGATCATCGCCAGCAAGAACCTGTCCAAGGAGCGGGTTGCCGCTGCAACTGAGCCACAATCAAAACCTGGGAAATTGAAGCTGAATAGGGGACTGTTCCAACCTTAGAAGGTGCAGCTGCTCCTTGAATGGTTTACACGGTATTGAGCAGCCTCCGTTGAGACTAAGCTTTGATGACTCCCTGGGCCTTGGTGACTGCCCAACGGAGGATGGGGCTCGAGGCGTTGAGGATGTCCCCCTCGGACCACGCTTGAAAGCTCCGAGATGAAACATGCCACGCTGATTTCGTAGGGCGGGATGGCCTGACCGGTGTGGGCTTGTAACCTCTCTCATGGCGAGGCCCTGCGAGTCTTGAAGAAGATCATTTGGTGTGCCAGAGCATCTGCGTAGCACTGAGCCGCAGATGCGTTGGTAAGACTTGGACGTTAAGATTGCCCATTGTGGCCACTGATGGAAGCCGCAAATTCGCACCAGACTTTGTAGCCCGCTTATGGCTTTGTTGTCAAGCCAACTCGAGGAAGACCCATCGCATTTGTGGCTCAAGCCATGCGTGGCGACTCTCTCTGACGCGACCTTTGGTTCCGCTGGGCCCGGAATGCCCGCTGCTTGGCCGAATAAAGGGAAACCATGGGGTTTGGTGGGGAGGTTGGGGTCTGTCACGATACTATCGTGCTCACTTTCAATAAATCACCCGGATCCTGCCACATGCAAGAGTTTGCCCAAAGGTGCGGGCAATTTTCAGAGTACCTAAAGCAAATCGTTCAGGATTTCCAAATGCGGCCTGGCTTTTCCTTACGGCAGGATTGAATCGGATTCTTGACCAACTCAAGTTGAGCTTTCAGCCACGTAGACCCTGTCTATGGCTGTTCTTCAACTGCCCTTTGGTCGCCGCAATCTGCCTGTTATCAATTCTTGTTCATTGAAGCCTTGTCGAGCACCGTGCAACCACTCAATTCCGCAAAGCTTCAATATGCAAAGTACATGGGTAGTGGAGTGTGGTGCTTTCCGCATTTGACAGATGTTGGGCCTGGCTTGTGACCAGCCGGACTTTGTCTCGGTTTCCGCAGCTGAGCTTCGAGCCGGGCCCGCAGTCTTGCAAGGCGTGATACGCCACAGACACGGCATCCAAGCAGTGCAAAGAGAGGATCTCCCAGTGCCCATGTGATATGCTTGAGGGAACTCATCTCAAGTCTCAGAGAGTGAGAGAGTTTACCAAATTGAATGGAGCTTGTGGTTTGTCAGGATATCTACACCCAAGCTACTCAGTTTGTTTGCTTGGCTCGTGTACAACATGGCGAGCCACACATAGAATCATGGACGGAGCCATGTGTAATCTCCAGACATGGTAAAGAAGAAGGGCAAGAAGCAGCCGGCGAAGAGCGCGCCAAAGGAGGAGCCGCCAGCTCCCAGGGGGGATGCCAGCAAAGGAGTGAAAGGCAGGACGCGTCAGATAGAAGCTCCGAGATCAGGTAGAATGAAACACATGTGCGACCCTTCATGCCACGAGCGATTTGTGGGTGTATGTGTTTGCTTGATTGCTGCGGTCCTCCCACTTCGGGCAGCGTGTATCCTCGGTTTTGCCAGGTTTGAAGAACCTGGGCAACACATGCTACGTGAACAGCGTGATCCAGTGCATGCACGCGGCCGCGGACTTCAGGGAGTCCCTGCCGGATGGCCAGGCCTCCAACGCCGGAGGCATTTGCGCGTCCCTGGGCAGCGTGCTGCGGAGCTTGAGCGGGCCAGGGGCCTCGCTGGGCCCCAAGGCACTGCACAGCAGCTTCTGCAACAAGTTCCCCTGGTTCAAGGGCCACCAGCAGCACGACGCCCACGAGTTCTTCTGCACCTTGCTGGGTGCGGTGGCGGATGAGAAGGCGAAGGAGGCCAAGGACGCCAAAGAGGCCAAGGCCAAAGAGGAGGATCCGGAGGACAAGGCCGAGGAGAGCGAGAGTGAGCCTCCCAGCGGCGAGCGCGCTGCTCGGCTGTTCCAAGGCCAACTCTGCAATACGGTCCTCTGCTGGAACTGTCGGAAAATCTCCACCCGGGTTCATCCGTACTTCCACCTATCGCTTCCAGTCCCTGAAACCGACATGGCGGGCCCAGGCGCACTTGGCATTCCGTCACAGCTGCTGCATGCTGCGCAGAGCACGAGCCCGGAGGGACAGTGTGAGTCCAAGACTCCGAATCCGGGCAAGGTGGATGAAGCCAGCCAAACCGGTGATGGCGAATGCCCGGGGAGTGTCGCGAGCGGGACTCCCGAGGCGACAGCGGTTGAGAAGGAAGGAGGCTCAGATGAAGCAAGCGCCGAAGAAAAAGATGCAGAGGTAGCCACTGGGACCGGTAAGGAAACCGGCAATGAGGCGGCTGTGGAAGAAGGCAGTGCGACTGCTGAGGTGAGTGAAGCTCTTGAATCGGAGGTCCCACATGAGGGGGAGCATGCTGACAAGACCGAGGGCGAGGGTGAGGAGAACTCATCTGATGGGAAAGAAGCCGCAATTGGAGATGAGGACGCCTCATTCGAGGTGTGTCTGCGCAGCGAAAATTGCCGGCGGCCACAGTGGGGATGGAAGTGGAACATGGCAGCCATGGCGAAAGAAGAGCTCCTGGTGTCGTCCATCCAGCCAGACTCCCTCTTGGACAGCTGGAACCTCAAGCAGCTTACACTTCATCGGCCAGACCGTGTCGTGCGACCAGGGGATCGAGTTATCTCGGTCCAAGGGGAGAGCGAGCACAAGCAGATGCTGCAGATCCTCAAGAAAGAGCCAGAGCTCACTCTGATTTTTCAGCGCACTGACGCGTCGGAGTTCGTCCAGCCGGCGGCGGACGGGTTTCCGGTTTGCCATAAGGGGAACCCGGAGGAAAAAACCCGTTTGCCTTATTCAAGTTTAGCTGCTTGCTGTTATCAAGTTGCTGATTCATAAATCACGCCATGCCAATCACTGGTCTGCGCCCGGCTTCGACAGCAACTCATTGAACATGTGCTTGCTATGACAGGTCTTATGCAACCCCCAAGAGCATTCCGGTACAATTGGCATTGGGCTATTGTTATATTCAAAGGGGGTCAGGTGTTCCTGTTGATCGGAAGCAACTTCAGCGTTGGCTTCACAGCACGTTTAGGCAATTTGTCCATTTTTACCCCAATGACATCTCATTGGTGTTGGACCCTCCTGAAAGTTTGGTGTTAGGGTTTGACTGAGCCCGAAGCGGGGGTTGGAGGCGACGGTGTCCCCATGGTCCTTTTAAGGTAACCTTACTAGAAAACTGCGCGGACCCAAACTGGCCAGCCAAACAGGTTGCTGCCAAAGCAGCACCCTGACCCAAACTGGTCGGAGGTGGAGATCTCCAACCGCCAAGTTGCGGGGGGCCGGGTTTTCACCCCTTTTCCAGCTCGGGGTGGGGTGGGTGGTGCGTCCAAGCCGCGACCGCATGGTTGTTGTTGGGAAGCATTTTACCTTTTTGCTTATTGCGGTTTAGTGGGAAATCCCCACTTAACTGCTAAGACTTAAATGTTTGCTCCCCTTCCAACGTCAACCAAGACAGGAGGAGAGCGAGCAGGACGAGAAGGAGGAGGCGGCGGATCGGCAGCAGCGCTGCGTGTCCTTCCTGGAGGCCTGGCGGCAGTGCCAGGACCAGCTGCCGCAGGCGACGGCCGGCGTGTCGGCGTTTCGGCGTTTCCGCGGCCGGCGCGGTGTGGGTGGTCGTTTTTGGTTTGGGGGAGCCTTGTGTTGTTTTTCAAGGGACACAAACAGGCACCGGATAAGTGTTATGATAGGGCACTAGTTGGGGGAGTTTCGCCGGGGGGGGTGTTTGAGAGAAAACAAGATGTGCAGCAGTCATTCCAGAGTCTGCGCGGAATTGGCTGCTTTGAGGATACCATGTTTGAACCTCTGATTTCCTGAGATATCCAACGCACGCTTGCAAGGAGCGCTGAACAGCAGCCATCATCTCATAGTGATCAGAACGGTAATCCTTAAAGTCAAGGGCAAATGTGCTTCTCACAGGCCAACAAATGACCCCAAGCTGGAATCCAGGAGGTTTAGGCGCCAACCCAGAAAGCTGCTAGAGCCACTAAACCCCACAATTATTGTTGTTGCCATGTTGTTTCAATCAGGCAATTTGTTGTTCGTGATTCTGCAGGGCCGCAGGGTCCAGCTTCCAGAACAGAAACCAGCTGTTAGCTGTGGCACGTGCGGCTCACACTGGAAGCATCTTGCGGTTCAAAATTGAAGGGGCCCAGTGAATTGCCTCTTTATATCGACCTCGCAGGAGCTGCAAGGAATGTATCGCTGCGGCGCTAAGGAGCCGGAGGCGGTGGGTGCTGAGTGCACTTTGCAGGACTGCCTGCGGCGACTTGGCGGGAGCTCGCAGAGTGTCTTGTTCAGGGACCCGTTTTTTCTGCTTTGAAACAGAAACAAAAGGAACAAAATCCAGTTTGGGTCCGAATCCACTGCGGGGTTCCAACAAATTGCCCTTTCTGATTGTGTTTGGGCAATTGGAAGTGCAGGGCCATTTCTTCAGATCTTTTTTCCCCGTTTCTTGTTTTTTTTTCTCTGGGCTGGCTCTTTGGCCTTTGTGTGCTTTGTTTGCAGTCGCGCACGTGCTCCAGTTGTGCCCTTAGCCGTAAACCCCGCTTCTTCGTAGGGCCGTTTTCGGCTTTGTGATGACCTTAGCACCTTGTTTGTCTTTATTGCGCCGTTTCTCAGCATTGTGAGTCAAGGCAAACCCAAACCCTGAACCATTCCCAAAGAATCCCAAGCCCACCCTAAACCCACGTTTAGGAAAACTAAACCAAACCACTAAAACTAGAACCACCCCAAAACCAAACCTCAGCCAATCCTGAAGAAACCCTAAAGAAACTTTAAACCCGCCCCAACGATCCAAGTCGCAACCTCCTCCTACTCTAAAACCACACTAAGCCAATCCTAGAACCCAACCCGACCCCAAACCAACCCCAAACCCGCACTATCAAGAACTAAGCAAACTCTATACCAACCCCAACACCCACTAAACTCACTCTAAAGCAACCCCAATCCAATCCTAAACCCAACCTACACCAACACAAACCCAAACTAAACCCACCCTGAAACCTGCTCTAAACCCACCCTATAAACCAACCCTTGACACCCTAAGCAAACCCTATACCAACCGCCCTACCCCCTACACAAACAAAGCCAACTCTAAACCATCCTGAAGCCACCCTAGACCTACCCTAAACCACGCTAAGCCCACCTAAACGCAGCCTAATCCAACTCTAAACCCACCATAAACCATCCCCAAAACCACCCTAAAGCAACCCTCACCAAGCCCTAAGCAAACCCTAAACCTAACCCAGGATAAACCAGCACTAAACCATCCCGGTACCTAAAGCACAGCCAAACCAACCAAGCTTACACCCATCTATTTATACAAACCCAAAACCAACTGAACCTGCCAACAAGCCTGGAACCCAAGCCTAAACCCAGCTTAAACCAAAGCTAACTGGTGATGCTGAGGATGTTGAAAACGATGCCGGGGATGTTAAAGCGATGCCGAACATGTTGACAGTGGTGCAAAACGAGTGGAACATTCTGTACAATACAGCATTTTATCACAAAGAGTAAACAAAAAGCAACCCGAACAAGAAACAGACAAATCCTGAATTAAATCCCGACCCATTGGAAGCTTTAGTTGGGGACCCTTTGGTGGACATTTTTTCGGGATGTCCACCAGTTGAACAAACGGCAAATTCGGAATGTGGGCATGTCTGAAAAGCAGGGACCTTTCAGAGAGTTTGGCTTCCCTTTCGGCCTTCATTGACAGGTAACTCAAAAGGGCGTTCCTTTTTTGAGACATACCGGTATGCATAAGGCATTGGCATGTCTAGTGGTGTCTCTGCAGAAAAGAAGGAAGGCCAGGCCAGACCGGCAAAGAAATGGATACCTTACACAGCGCTCGCAATCATGTTTGTGACACGTGTCAGCAACTGAGTTCAGTTGGCGGACGTGTTTTTTCTTCTTCCTCAATGGGGTCTTGAATTCTTTAGGTGCACCAGCTCTTGATCAACCATGTTGGGATATTTGGGGTTCGCACGATCCTGATTTCAATTTGCACGGCAGACACACTGTGGTTACATGCACCGTCGTTTTGAGAGCTGAGCCATTCAAGTTGAGACAAATAGGCCCAATATTTGGTCGGTGAAAGGGAATCCCAACGGGTTCATCATATATGTGCCATGTATTAAAGTAGTTTGATGTTCAATTTCCATGTGTAAAATGCCAGAATTACAGAATGACTAGACGTTTGTTTCACGAACTGTAGCAAGATACAGCTTGCCTTGTCTTAGATGCTTACCCACACCTTCGGGGGTGTTTCGGGGCACCAAGGAAGTTTGCAGACCTGGAAGCCATGGAAGAGGACTTCTACCCCTCCTACGAGTGCACTGACTGTGCCAAGGCGAAGGAGGCCGCGAAAGCCGCCGAGTCCGGCGCCAGTCCGTGTCCGGAGCTCCCTCCGGGTCCTCCGGGCCCTCCGGGCCCTTCGGGTCGACGGAAGGCGAAGATGTTCGCCACTTCGAAGTATTGGCTCTGCGGCACGCCCCAGATGCTGACACTGCAGCTGAAGCGCTTCAACAAGAAGCTGCAGAAGATTAAGACCAAGGTGGCCATGCCAGCAACCCTGGATCTGGCGGAGCTCGCCATGACCCGGGATACCGCTGGGAAGGTCCAAGGCCATCTGAAGAGCGAGTGTGAGAAACAAGAGCTTCCCTGCCCAGAGGACACAAAGTATGAGCTCTTTGGCGTTGTCCAGCATCATGGGTCCACTATGCAGGGTGGCCACTACACGGCCTACGTCAATTTGGGCAGCTCACTGGAAGGGGATAGCTGGTATTTTTGCAATGACGCAGTTGTTACCAAATGCGGCCTTCAGGATGCTCTGAAGGCAGAAGCTTATGTCGCTTTTTATCGCAAGGTGGAGCAGCCATCAGCCTCTGAGGCATGAGAGAGATGAGAGCAGGTAACCGCATGTTTCACTCCGCTGCTCGAAAAGAAACAACACAGGTGTTGAGTACTAGCTGCCCTGTCTCTTGAATCAAGCATGCACTTACAACTCACAGGCCCTCATTTCCAGGTGGCGGTCTCCCATATTCTCCATAGAGGCCGTGCTTGTACCTGCCAGAGATGGATTTGCCGGCCATGGTTTGACTTCCCAGCGGCTTGCTTTTAGCGGATGTGTCTGAGATGGATTTGTTGGTAGTGCTATATTTGTGTGATATGAAAAAGCTTAACTGGCACCGTGGTCCATGGTTGCTTTGATTAGGTGCCCAATCTTCTACAAGCACATTCGGGGTTCAGTTCAAGCAACTATGTCATGCACTCCCCCAGCAAACTCTGGTCACACCCCAACTTTGGACCCCAAACGCCCCTTCAACACCCTCTCGGGGAAGACAAACAAAAATAGACCGACATTGGCGGTGTGTTTGGGAGGTTCGCTTGGGGGGGTGGGAGCAGTCAAATCATTCGATGTCTTATTTCGCGAAGTTAGCCATGACTTTCTTGCACCATGTCCGCGGCTTGTTTGAATTGGGATCCGAGGCCAGCGAAAGCGTTTTGCACTGGCAGACGATGTGGGACTGACTGCGCGATTGACACCATGACTTGCTTATTGTGCACTGGATTCAACTTTGGCCTGCAATTTGCTGTGCAGTCACTCAAAATGACTTGTCTTGTGTGAGTGTAAATGCCAGCTCATGAATGTATATAAACTTTAGAGCCTCCGGCTCAGTCCGCCGACATTGTCCTCTCCCTTTTCTCCTTCTTCCCTCTCCCTTGTCTCCCTCGTGCGTTCTGTCGTCCTCTCTCCCTCCCTCTGCTCCCCATTCTCCCCATCCCCCCAAGCCTCTCTCTCCTCAATCTCCCACTCTCTCTCTCTCGCTGTCTCTGTTTCTCTGTCTCTTTCTGTCTCCCTGTCTCCTTCCTGTCCACGCCCCTCTACAGAAAAAGGGCACCCTAATTCGAACCTCTCTACTCTCTCACTTTCTCGCTCTTTCTCTTTCTCTTTCTCTTTCTCTCTCTCTCTCTCTGTCTTTCTGTGTCTCTCTTTCTCAGTCTCCGTCTTTCTCTCTCTCGCTGTCTCTCTCTCTGTCTGTCTCTTTCTCTGTTTCTCTGATTCTGGCTCTGTCTGTGGCTCTGTCTCTCTCTCTCTCTTTCTGTCTCTCTCTCTGTCTCTCTCCCGCTCTCTCCCTCTCTCTCTCTCTCTCTCTCTCTCTCTCTCTCTCTCTCTCTCTCTCTCTCTCTCTCTCTCTCTCTCTCTCTCTCTGTCTCTCTCTCTCTGCATTGCAGCGTCACGTCCCCCCCCGAGTTGCCTCGATGTCCGGGCACTGCCCCTGCATGACCCTGAACTGTCATCTCACTACTGGCTTTCCCCCTTCATGTCCGTGTCACGTTTCCCATGATGTCCTGGTCCTGTCCCTTCCATGCCATTCAGCCCCCCCTTCATGTCCCTGACATTTTCTCGGTATGTCCGCTTCATTTGCCATGTATGTCCCGTTCTTTCGTTGCGAGTCATTTCCCTACATCTCCCGTCGTGCTTGGTTTCCTTGTGCTTTGTTTCCTCTCCTTCCCCCTGCACTCCCCTTGTTTTCATTTCTGTCCCTTGCATGTCCCTTTCAGTTCCCCTTTGTTTCCCTTTCATGTCCCGCTGCTTTCCTGTCATGTCGACTTCCTATTTCCTCCCCTCATTTCACTTGCACTTCCTTGCATTTCCCCTCTGCTCCCCAATATTTCCAGCAAAAAAACACGGGTTTTCCAGCGTTTTCACAATTAGGACGTCCAAAAACACAGAGTTTTTCCAGATTTTCTGCAAAAGGAGGCAGGAACCCCAAACCAGCAAAGAGCCGGCAGGGGGAATCGAGCCTGGGACCCCTGTTTTGCGACACCGGCTCCCCGAAGACTACGTTTAGTGGAACGTCATCAAATTGCCGCGCGGTCCGGGAGGGGCCCGTATCAGACGTCGGGCGGGGGGGGGTTAGGGGGGGGGGTTACCCTCTATCCTCTCTTAGGTGTCCGACACGTCGAGCAATGTCGGCGGACTTAGATATTCTATTTGTCATGTGCGTCTGTCGTACCAAGCGAAAGGGCGCTGCTAAGCATCTAGCACCCGCAAACGTGCGGGCAGGAAAATCACCCCGGTTGTTTGCCATGAGCTTTGCAGGACATCAACAGCTGGAGTAGGCGGCAGGCCTGTGGCGACTGATCCGTGGAAGCCTTTCCAGCGCCTTTCTTCCATTTTCCCTCCACACGGAAGACGGGTCAAATCATGAGAGAGAATGGTCACATGGTTCCCGACTTCGGGTTGGGGGAGAGGGTTCCCGTAGTCAGGTTGAGGACAACTTCACGGCCATGATGCCTGGGCCTCAGCCCCTGCAAGCCCATTGGCCGGTGTGTTGGGCTTGGTACAGGCCACTGTAGGACAGCTCACCTGAGAAAGGCTTGTTTTGCTTCAATAAGTATCCTGACCGCGATTTCTGTCACCAGTGCCTCAAACGAGGCGTGATACATTGCAGGTAAACAGCAACAAACCGAAGGCGCGGCTGCGGTGCGTACAGTCTGTGATTTCAAAAGAGTACGGAAGGGTCAGGACGACTGAGCCAGGAAACAAAAAATGACTTTGGCAACCAGCATGCGTGAACGGATGGAACTTCATGCCGTTTGTGTCAGGGTCCAAAATCATCAATTGCACACACGCACACGCACACGCACACGCACACGCACACGCACACGCACACGCACACGCACACGCACACGCACACGCACACGCACACGCACACGCACACGCACACGCACACGCACACGCACACGCACACGCACACGCACACGCACACGCACACGCACACGCACACGCACACGCACACGCACACGCACACGCACACCACACGCACACGCACACGCACACGCACACGCACACGCACACGCACACGCACACGCACACGCACACGCACACGCACACACACACACACACATCAAAAAACACACACACACACATCAAAAAACACACACACACACACACCCACACACACACAACAAAAAACACACACACACACACACACACACACACACACACACACACACACACACACACACACACACACACACACACACACACACACACACACACACACACACACACACCCACACACACCACACACACACACACACACACACACACACACACACACACACACACACACACACACACACACACACACACACACACACACACACACACACACACACACACACACACACACACACACACACACACACACACACACACACACACACACACACACCCACACACACACACACACACACACACACACACACACACACACACACACACACACACACACACACACACACACACACACACACACACACACACACACACACACACACACACACACACACACACATGGAGCCTAATCCCTCGCAGTGGACAATCCCATGCATCAAATCCAAGAAGATGCCTTAGACGCACAACACGCACAGACACACACTGCGACGGAAACACGTTGTCTTGGGCATCCCGCAGGATTGGCTCTTGTACCAGGACTGGCTACGGAGGGTTGCAATGAACTCTGGCAGACGGCTGCGCGCACTTGGTCGAGGTTGGAAACCTGGAGTATTGGGACAACACTGGACATTGTTGTTTAAACAACATAATTCAAATATGGGATTGAAGATTCAAGATTCAATATTTCCAAATATCATGTTCTCAGATCATTGAGGCTCGAACCTTGAATCCCATATATTCAAAAAGAACATATACTATATATATATACACATACATACACATATTTGTATATGCCGGTGTTGTCATCATACTCCTTAGATGTACGCAGACTCTGTCAGATGGCAGATGATGATATCATTGATACATACAGGTATATTATATATAAAAATAAACATACATATACATATGCCCCCCCCCCCCCCAATTCTGCCACAAAATCAGCGAGACAGAAACCACATAGCACACTGGGAAAACACACTTCAAATTCACACAACCTGGGTTCATGTGGACGGGGTACCACCAATACATTCATATATGCAACATAAATCATATAAGTATACATGTATATATGTATTATATATATATATCGCAAGAGCTCCCTGGGAAGCCGCAACAATTTGCATGCGGATTTGACAACTTTTTTGGCCTCGGCGCACGGTTCATTGGCACGGCAACCGAGGGTCTCGCAAGGTTTCAGCTGCGTCGCGAGCGCAGCGCTTTCGCAAAGTCATGCGCAGTTTTTCGTGGCAGGCGCAGAACTTTCGCAAGATCAGGTGCAGATTGCGCGGCAGACGCAGCGCTTTCGCAAGGTCGATAGATAGAGAGATAGACAGACACACGTGTATATATATATATACATAAAGAGAGAGATAGAGAGAGAGAGAGAGAGAGAAAGAGAGAGAGAGGGAGAGAGAGACAGAGAGAGAGAGAGAGAGAGAGAGAGAGAAGAGATCGATGGATAGAGTGATCGACAGACAGACAGAGAGATCTCTTGACAGAAGGATAGGCGGCTAAGCAGACAAAAGACAGATAGATAGATAGGTAGGTAGGTAGGTAGATAGGTGGATAGAGAGAGAGAGAGAGAGAGAAATAGATCAAGAGATGGATAGATAAATAGGTAGATGGAGAAAGAAAGGTTGCGTGGATGTCATGGGCAAGGCTGCAGCAGTCAGCTTGTTCCAAAGCCAAGGTGCCAGAAACAAGGCTGCGCCGACAACATGGAGAAGGACATCTGCAGGTGGAGTTGTCCAGTTCACTGCTTTTGCAAGGCAGGCTCACCAGCTGCGTTCTGTAACCAGTCTGGTGGCAATGGGCCTGCGTGGCCAGGCAGCCAGTCATCCAGTCATTGGGGCAAACCAGAGCAGCAGGAGCACCGTACATTTAAACTGGTTCGGAGGCTTTGAGCAGAGGCATGTGTCGGAAGACGACTCACTTGACAAGGCCTCGGAAGCAGCTCAAGAAGAGACGCGTTTTGCAGCTGGAGTTGAATGCAAGTTGGACGGGCTGCCTTGTTTCAGAGATGGGGCTTGACTTAGGGATGACCGCCCTGCATGTTGCAACCTCAGAATGACCGCGCCCCAGCCGCGTTTCAGCACTTATCAGAGTTCTGAGGCCAACCTTACGCTGCGGAGGCCGCCGCTTGGATGGATGTCTTTTCTGTCGCACCTCCGCGCAAGACGGTGGCGCGACTGTGTGCAAAGATGGAGGGTCCATCCGCGCACTACTGTAACATTTCACGGCCTCCAGTCCAAGAACAAAGTCAAGCTGGAAGTGAGACGCGTCCTCTACTGGTATCGGCGTTGGAAGCGCAACCGGCGCTACAGGAAGGGGCTGCTTCTGCTTGGGCGCCGAGCGGCGATGACCAAGAAGGTGCGACAACATCTCAGACGCATGTGCAGAAAAAGGACCCTTGCTGGGCTGTGGGGTTTGGGGGTGAGAGTTGGAACGTTGCCGGTAGAGCATTTCTAGGCGGTGCTCAGCGGGCGTGCGTCCCAGCGAGTTCCAGGCACATGTCCAGCAAGCGGTTGGACATTATTGTCAGCTTGCGTTTGTCAGACACAACTGACATTTATTCAGCCAGCAGCAGCATTCCAAGTTCTCTGAGTGGGACGCTATGTTCGAGCAGAAGCTGCCAGCAGATCTTCTCAACTCATGGCAAAAAACGCAAGGAAGCCACTCAGTCAAAGATCCAGGCACGCAATTTCAATAAACAGTTCCTTGAAGCAAGCCGCATGAAGTGGCTGCGGCCCTATGGCCTGGCGCCAGCGTGCGGACCTTTGTGAGACGTCGCCTATGCCGGAGTGGTCTCATGGGCATGTCGAAGAAGATGACAGAGAATGGCAAGAGATGGACTTCGACGTGGAGCAGGAAGGAGCTGTCCAACGTTCTGCAGTCAAAAGACTTTGGGGGAGTGCGCAGATGAGATGTGTGCCCCGCAACGGCGGACAGACAGACAGACAGACAGACAGATAGGTAGACAGACAGACCAGACAAACATACAGACAGACAGACAGACAGACAGACAGACAGGCAGACAGACAGACAGACAGACAGACAGGCAGACAGACAGACAGACAGACAGACACAGACAGACAGCCAGACAGACAGACAGCCAGACAGCACATAGACGGACAGACAGATAACGTAGATGGTAGATAAGTAGACAGACACATAGGCCCATAGAGATAGGTAGGTAGATAGACCGACAGATAGACAGGCGTAAACAGACCGATGATAGATAGATAGATAGATAGATAGATAGATAGATAGATAGATAGATGGATAGAGAGTAGACCAACATAGATCGACCGAGAGATATAGAAAAAAAACAAACAAAATTACTAAATGGATAGTGAGATAGACACACAAGTGATGGATGGATAGATGGATAGGTGCAAGGAGAGAGAGAGAGAGAGAGAGAGACATAGTTTTGCTGGATGGATAGTTACTAGATCGAGCGCATGGATAGGTAGGTAGAGAGAGGAATGGATTGACAGATGGATAGATACATAAATAGATAGATAGACCGATAGAGAGATCGATGTGTACATTGAAAGAAAGACAGGGAGCAAAACAAGAAAGAATAAGGAAAGCAGGAAAGCGAGAAAGAAGCAGAAATATGGACGGAAGCGAAACAATGAAAAGAAAGAAGAAAAGACTGAACAGAGAAATTAAAAGACAAATAATAACAGAACTCTGGTTTGTTTGGTTTACCGGCTTCAATGTCTCTATGTTATATGTTATTTAAGTATGCGCAGACACGCATAGATCTACATTGTGCACCCAGTGCGCGTTGCCCCTTGCCCAAAGCACAATTAGCTGTACGCCGCGCACAGCTGTTTATTGAGAACATTTGCAGGGTTGCCAGAAAAAGCAACCTCTGTGACAAAACAAGACGGCGCGAAGGGCGCCTGAACGTATGTCAGGTATGTGGAGCTAATTCCTGACAGCTCCTCGTTAAGCGAGGAGAATGAAAGATAATCACGTTAGCGAGTGATGAAAGCCGCAACATTCAGTGTTTTGGCCTGCCAGGGATACTTTGTGCAATGGGAATTTGCAGCCCCAAGGAATAGATGCGCCAATGCTACGCAATGCAGTGTGCATCTTTTTGACTTGATGAACTCAGCATAGCAAGTTTCGCAGGTAGAGCACCTGTGTCCAGGCATGGTGATCAAGACGGTGGGGGATGTGCGTGCAGCAGTCCTCTATTTGGCACCGCGCGGTTGGGAGAAGGTTGATGCCCAACCAGTGACATTGCCACCTAATCATTGGGGGAGGACGCTGCGAACCAAAACGCGACATTCAGAGATGCCATTGATCACTGCGTCCTCCTCAACCTTCTCCCAAACGTACATATTGAAGTGTTGGTAGGCTATTTGCGGTTCTGTTAAAGTATTGACCTCAGCAAGAGTCTTGGAGTTGCGGACAGCATGAAATCGACGGAGGGGTGCGTAGCAAACTGCCTGGGAACACTCAACGAATCAAAGCGAATGTTTGCTGCGCTACCTTCCGAACATTTGGGCAAATTTGAGGAGAACCTTCTCCCCGTGCGTTCCCTCCCTTCCCGCCAGGAGGAATTGATTTCCTTGCGGAAGGCGGGTGGCTGCGTGAGACTCGGGACTCGAGCCGGGCGAGAGTCGGGCGTGCCAGGAGTTGGAGGGCTACAAGGACGCGCGTCACGGAGACTTGCGTATGGGCTCGGCCTCAAGCGAGCCTTGGGTTTTCCAATGGTTTCCACTTAAAGCAATTCGCAAGGGGGTAAACTCAAAGAAAAGTACGCCCATGTTGCTCAGAACATAGTTTGCATGTGGTGGTTGATTATTTTCGACTTAGCCCGCAGGGCATGAAGATTCGCGAGTTTGAGGATGAGAAGAAGGCCCAACGGAACTTAGCCGCTTGAAGATGCGAATGCAAAGTAGCGTAAGCTTTGGAAGAAGTAGACCACGGAGGCTCAGAATGCCGGTTTTTTTGTTTCCCGGTCAGCATGTGCGCCCTACTGGCGGAAAGCATGAAGTGCTTCGTGACATGTGTCGTTGTCACACTTGCGGCCAATGTGCGAAGTCTCCTGTGAACATGTTCTTTCAGCATTCCCAACATCTCGGAAACGGCATTCAGGTTTTGTAAAAGGAGCTTTTGGGCATGAACCTTTGCACGCCCACTCAACAGAGGCCTTGTTTTTTTTTAATGATCGGCGGTCATGAGCATGCCTTCGGGCGGGCGAGCGACGTGGAACTAGAATCCGACCGTCTCCGGATCTGGATCCGTGGCTCCTGGGCCCGTAAATTTGACGCCTCCTTGCCCAAATTTAGATTGCTTCCATTGTCGTCAGAGTGGATGTGACCGGCTACAAAGAAAAAAACGCTTTCATATCTGAGCAACGAGCAATATGCCTTGGGACTTACATGTGTGGGGAGGACATGGGGGCCGCCCTAGTATTTACCGACAAAACCGGGGAGATTGGGGCCTTGTGACAGGTGCTGCAAGAAAGGATCAAGGCGCGCCAGTTATCTGCGACTCAAACGTCGAGGTTGCTGCGTTTGCAGTGTGTTTTTGCTCGGCGCACAGGTCTTGGCAGCGGAAAAAAACAGGAGGTATAAAGTTCTTAGAGTAGATCTTTGGCCCTTTTTCACTTCTCATAGCTACCGAGCACAACAACATGCCAGCCTTGTTGAGTGCTGGATTGTGAAAGGTTCCTGGTCTCTTGCTTTATTGTCTGGTGCAGCTCACATAAGCCCGTTGCTGTTTCCAGCCTGAAAGGAACAGTGTCCAGCCGAGTGGGGCCAACGGCTTCGGCAGGATTTGGAGAGCCGCAAGGAAGCGAAAGGTCGCTCATGCACCGAGCAAGTTCGAGTGCTTGAGGGCTGCAACAAGGCCCGATCCGGAGTGAATGAGGTTGAAAGGAAGCGTTGCAACTTGAAATCTTAAAGTTGAGCGTCCTGGCTCCTAGTGCCAGGCAAGTGAACGACTTGTGCGCGGTGATAAGATCAGAGTTTCATGGCCGCGAGCATCCACCAGCTCTCATTGTGAAGTGTGTGACAGGAGCTCAGGGACCAGCTCGCGGCCGGGCACGGGCGCTGATCGACTCAGATGGCAAACAAACACAGCAGCGGTAGTGCTCGACTTGTGGTTCTGGCGCCGACCCCGAGTTTGTGGAAGAAAGCAGTAACAGAATCCACTTCCCCCCGTGGTCCTTCATTTTTACCAACCCGAGTGGTTTCAATAGTCCCACTACTTGAGTCTTTTTTTTGAAACATAGTACGTTCGCGACACTGCTCCGAGCACGACTGCATGTGAGTACACTGCAAGCATCACTTCTACTAGTGTTCTAGATGCAGCCAGAACTGGCAAATCTTCTTGTTGTGCAGAAAGCGGTGGCAGATACATTTTGATTGACTGGATTCTTGCTGGGTGGAGGTGCAGTAGTTTTTCCTTCAAAGGATTGAATGTTGCGCTTCGGAGCCGTATGATTTGACGCCATTGTGCCATGCGTGCCTCAAGCTTTTGAATTCAGCCTCACAGCTGCGCAGGTGTTCGCGGAGTATCGAAAGGGGCAGGCCGGATGCATTCCATTCCTTTCAATACTCGTACTGTGAGCCTCTGCAGCGCTGGAAGGCGCTTTGCAGTTTGTGCTGGTACTTGTGCTGACGTCGGGCAGATTTGGAACTAATTCTAGCTGTTCCGTCGGTGCGGACTCGATTTTGGCCAAGCTGCCGGTACGCACAGCCTCGCAGAGTCCCGTAGAGATTTCGGCCCAGCTCATGCCAGGTTCTCAAAATCCGCGAGATCAAGGCTGGGGGGGGGCGGGGCAAGCCAGAGAGAATGAGGATGCGACAAAGTGTTGGACACATTGGAAATTTATACTTTGAAGTAGACTGTTGTGACTTTGCCAGGCACTGCTTGTGAGTGGTTGACAAGATCAGCGTTTCAGGGTCGCCAGTGTCCAACATCCTGCAGATGTGCATTTGTTGTGAAGTCTTGCGTGAATTGCGTGACAGGAGCTGAAGGCAAAGCTTGAGGCTGGGCTTATGACTTCGATTGCAGGTCTGTGGGCTGGTAGATCAACGGAGCAGCGGGAGCCTAGTAGCAGTTGGCCAACGACAGCAGAGACAAGATAGGCCCGATTTGTGGCATTGTGATGCTGGGTCCTCGTTTGGATTGGGTCTGGAAGTTGTTTTTGGCAACCTCACTACTTTGTTTTCTTCATTGAGCGTTCGCATTTGGACACTCGTGAGGAAATTGCTCAGGGCATCACTGCATGTGAACACATTTTGAGCAGCAGGTGCAGTAAGCAACTGCTTCCTGGTTGAAAGGCAGACACATGTTGTTTCGCTGAATATTTGGGTCGAGTAGCAGGCAGTCTTTCAGTCGAGAGTTTCGCAGGTGACGGAGGAGCGGCTTCGCAGGGCACAAGCTGAGGCTTGGCGAGACTTGGGTCAGTTCCACTCGAGCACAATGCATTCCGTTTCAACACTTGTAAGACTCTCCTGCACTGGCGGGGATTTTGCAGTTTGAGCTGGTACTTGTGTTGTGGTCGGGCAATGTTGGGCAACTACAAGTGGCGTTCTTGCACTTGCCCACGGCGCTGAGCCGATTTGGCCAATGTGCAATGGCAAACAGAGCTAGTGGAAAGCCCTGCCTCGTTTCGTGCCAGGCCGAGAAAGAGCGAGAGATTGGGGAAGACAACAAGGCACGGGTCCTCAGAAAGCACCGTTGGGCTCGTCGAGCCATAATGTGTGCGGTGGTTGTAAAGTTCTGCGTGGCAGGAGCTGAAGCACAAGCTTCAGGCTGGGCTTATGACTTCGATTACGTGTCTGTGGCATGGTAGATCAACGAAGCAGCGGGAGCCCAGTAGCAGTTGGCCAACGACAGCAAAGACAAGATGGGCCCGATTTGTGGCATTGTGGTGCTGGGTCCTCTTTTTTGGATTGAGTCTGGAAGTTGTTTGGGCAACCTCACTACTTTGTTTTCTTCATTGAGCGTTCGCATTTGGACACTCGTGAGGAAATTGCTCAGGGCATCACTGCATGTGAACACATTTTGAGCAGCAGGTGCAGTAAGCAACTGCTTCCTGGTTGAAAGGGGGTGTTCACAACCGCTGCACCACACACGAGTGTCTGCGGGAAAGCGACTTCACATCACCGTTCCGAAAGTGGTTGTATGATATGGGTAGGATAAGCCAAGTTCCCGTGGAGGAATTGAGGTGGCAGACACATGTTGTTTTGCTGAGTTCTTGGGTCGAGTAGCAGGGCAATTTTTCAGCTGAGTGGTTCAGCGTTGCGCAGGTGATGGAGGATCGTCTCCGCAAGACAGAGACTCAGGCTGGGCGAGACTTGGGTCAGTTCCACTCGAGCACAATGCATTCCGTTTCTTTCAACACTTGTAAGACTCTCCTGCACTGGCGGGGATTTTGCAGTTTGAGCTGGTACTTGTGTTGTGGTCGGGCAATGTTGGGCAACTACAAGTGGCGCTCTTGCACTTGCCCACAGTGCGGAGCCGACTTGGCCAACGTGCAATGGCAAACAGAGCTAGTGGAAAGCCCTGCCTCGTTTCGTGCCAGGCCGAGAAAGAGCGAGAGATTGGGGAAGACAACAAGGCACGGGTCCTCAGAAAGCACCGTTGGGCTCGTCGAGCCATAATGTGTGCGGTGGTTGTAAAGTTCTGCGTGGCAGGAGCTGAAGCACAAGCTTCAGGCTGGGCTTATGACTTCGATTACGTGTCTGTGGGATGGTAGATCAACGAAGCAGCGGGAGCCCAGTAGCAGTTGGCCAACGACAGCAAAGACAAGATGGGCCCGATTCGTGGCATTGTGGTGCTGGGTCCTCTTTTTTGGATTGAGTCTGGAAGTTGTTTGGGCAACCTCACTACTTTGTTTTTTCATTGAGCAGGTTCGCATTTGGACACTCGTGAGGAAATTGCTCAGGGCATCACTGCATGTGAACACATTTTGAGCAGCAGGTGCAGTAAGCAACTGCTTCCTGGTTGAAAGGGGGTGTTCACAACCGCTGCACCACACACGAGTGTCTGCGGGAAAGCGACTTCACATCACCGTTCCGAAAGTGATTGTATGATATGGGTAGGATAAGCCAAGTTCCCGTGGAGGAATTGAGGTGGCAGACACATGTTGTTTTGCTGAGTTCTTGGGTCGAGTAGCAGGGCAATTTTTCAGCTGAGTGGTTCAGCGTTGCGCAGGTGATGGAGGATCGTCTCCGCAAGACAGAGACTCAGGCTGGGCGAGACTTGGGTCAGTTCCACTCGAGCACAATGCATTCCGTTTCTTTCAACACTTGTAAGACTCTCCTGCACTGGCCGGGATTTTGCAGTTTGAGCTGGTACTTGTGTTGTGGTCGGGCAATGTTGGGCAACTACAAGTGGCGCTCTTGCACTTGCCCACAGTGCGGAGCCGACTTGGCCAACGTGCAATGGCAAACAGAGCTAGTGGAAAGCCCTGCCTCGTTTCGTGCCAGGCCAAGAAAGAGCGAGAGATTGGGGAAGACAACAAGGCACGGGTCCTCAGAAAGCACCGTTGGGCTCGTTGAGCCACAATGTGTGCGGTGGTTGTAAAGTTCTGCGTGGCAGGAGCTGAAGCACAAGCTTCAGGCTGGGCTTATGACTTCGATTACGGGTCTGTGGCATGGTAGATCAACGAAGCAGCGGGAGCCTAGTAGCAGTTGGCCAACGACAGCAAAGACAAGATGGGCCCGATTTGTGGCATTGTGGTGCTGGGTCCTCTTTTTTGGAATAAGTCTGGAAGTTGTTTGGGCAACCTTACTACTTTGTTTTCTTCATTGAGCTGACTAGCATGTGGACACTCGTGAGGAAGTTGCTCAGGGCATCACTGCATGTGAACACATTTTGAGCAGCAGGTGCAGTAAGCAACTGTTTCCTGGTTGAAAGGGCGTGTTCACAACCGCTGGGGCACCGCACACAAGTGTCTCCGGGAAAGCGACTTCACATTACCGATCCAAAAGTGGTTGTATGATATGGGTAGGATAAGCCAAGTTCCCGTGCAGGAATTGAGGTGGCAGACACATGTTGTTTTGCTGAGTTCTTGGGTCGAGTAGCAGGGCAGTTTTTCAGTCGAGTGGTTCAGTGTTGCGCAGGTGATGGAGGAGCGGCTCTGCAGGGCACAAGCTGAGGCTTGGCGAGACTTGGGTCAGTTCCACTCGAGCACAATTCATTCCGTTTCTTTCAACACTTGTAAGACTCTCCTGCACTGGTGGGGATTTTGCAGTTTGAGCTGGTACTTGTGTTGTGGTCGGGCACTGTTGGGCAACTACAGGTGGCGTTCTTGCACTTGCCCACGGCGCGGAGCCGATTTGGCCAATGTGCAATGGCAAACAGAGCTAGTGGAAAGCCCTGCCTCGTTTCGTGCCAGGCCGAGAAAGAGCGAGAGGGTAGGGAAGACAACAAGGCACGGACCTGGAGAAAGCACCGTTGGGCTCGTCGAGCCACAATGTGTGCGGTGGTTGTAAAGTTCTGCTTGGCAGGAGCTGAAGCACAAGCTTCAGGCTGGGCTTATGACTTCGATTACGGGTCTGTGGCATGGTAGATCAACGAAGCAGCGGGAGCCTAGTAGCAGTTGGCCAACGACAGCAAAGACAAGATGGGCCCGATTTGTGGCATTGTGGTGCTGGGTCCTCTTTTTTGGAGTGAGTCTGGAAGTTGTTTGGGCAACCTCACTACTTTGTTTTCTTCATTGAGCGTTCGCATTTGGACACTCGTGAGGAAATTGCTCAGGGCATCAGTTGCATGTGAACACATTTTGAGCAGCAGGTGCAGTAAGCAACTGCTTCCTGGTTGAAAGGGCGTGTTCACAACCGCTGGGGCACCACACACGAGTGTCTGCGGGAAAGCGACTTCACATCACCGATCCAAAAGTGATTGTATGATATGGGTAGGATAAGCCAAGTTTCCGTGCAGGAATTGAGGTGGCAGACACATGTTGTTTTGCTGAGTTCTTGGGTCGAGTAGCAGGGCAGTTTTTCAGTCGAGTGGTTCAGTGTTGCGCAGGTGATGGAGGAGCGGCTCTGCAGGGCACAAGCTGAGGCTTGGCGAGACTTGGGTCAGTTCCACTCGAGCACAATTCATTGCGTTTCTTTCAACACTTGTAAGACTCTCCTGCACTGGTGGGGATTTTGCAGTTTGAGCTGGTACTTGTGTTGTGGTCGGGCGATGTTGGGCAAGTACAAGTGGCGCTCTTGCACTTGCCCACGGTGCGGAGTCGATTTGGCCAATGTGCAATGGCAAACAGAGCTAGTGGAAAGCCCTGCCTCGCTTCGTGCCAGGCCGAGAAAGAGCGAGAGGGTAGGGAAGACAACAAGGCACGGACATGGAGAAAGCACCGTTGGGCTCGTTGAGCCCTTATGTGTGCGGTGGTTGTAAAGTTCTGCTTGGCAGGAGCTGAAGGAAAAGCTTCAGGCTGGGCTTATGACTTCGATTACGGGTCTGTGGCATGGTAGATCAACGAAGCAGCGGGAGCCTAGTAACAGTTGGCCAACGACAGCAAAGACAAGATGGGCCCGATTTGTGGCATTGTGGTGCTGGGTCCTCTTTTGGATGTGGCTGGAAGTTGCTTTTGGCAACCAGGGCGCGTTCACAACCGCTGGAGCACCACACACGAGTGTCTCCGGGAAAGCGACTTGATATCACCGTTCCGAAAGTGGTTGTATGATATGGGTAGGATAAGCCAAGTTCCCGTGCAGGAATTGAGGTGGCAGACACATGTTGTTTTGCTGAGTTCTTGGGTCGAGTAGCAGGGCAGTTTTTCTGTCGAGTGGTTCAGTGTTGCGCAGGTGATGGAGGAGCGGCTCTGCAGGGCACAGGCTGAGGCTTGGCGAGACTTGGGTCAGTTCCACTCGAGCACAATGCATTCCGTTTCTTGCAACACTTGTAAGACTCTCCTGCACTGGTGGGGATTTTGCAGTTTGAGCTGGTACTTGTGTTGTGGTCGGGCAATGTTGGGCAACTACAAGTGGCGTTCTTGCACTTGCCCACGGTGCGGAGCCGATTTGGCCAATGTGCAATGGCAAACAGAGCTAGCGGAAAGCCCTGCCTCGTTTCGTGCCAGGCCGAGAAAGAGCGAGAGGTTGGGGAAGACAACAAGGCACGGGTCCTCAGAAAGCACCGTTGGGCTCGTTGAGCCATAATGTGTTCGGTGGTTGTAAAGTTCTGCGTGGCAGGAGCTGAAGCACAAGCTTCAGGCTGGGCTCATGACTTCGATTACGTGTCTGTGGGATGGTAGATCAACGAAGCAGCGGGAGCCCAGTAGCAGTTGGCCAACGACAGCAAAGACAAGATGGGCCCGATTTGTGGCATTGTGGTGCTGGGTCCTCTTTTTTGGATTGAGTCTGGAAGTTGTTTGGGCAACCTCACTTCTTTGTTTTTTTCATTGAGCAGGTTCGCATTTGGACACTCGTGAGGACATTGCTCAGGGCATCACTGCATGTGAACACATTTTGAGCAGCAGGTGCAGTAAGCAACTGCTTCCTGGTTGAAAGGGCGTGTTCACAACCGCTGGGGCACCACACACGAGTGTCTCCGGGAAAGCGACTTGATATCACCGTTCCGAAAGTGGTTGTATGATATGGGTAGGATAAGCCAAGTTCCCGTGCAGGAATTGAGGTGGCAGACACATGTTGTTTTGCTGAGTTCTTGGGTCGAGTAGCAGGGCAGTTTTTCTGTCGAGTGGTTCAGTGTTGCGCAGGTGATGGAGGAGCGGCTCTGCAGGGCACAGGCTGAGGCTTGGCGAGACTTGGGTCAGTTCCACTCGAGCACAATTCATTGCGTTTCTTTCAACACTTGTAAGACTCTCCTGCACTGGTGGGGATTTTGCAGTTTGAGCTGGTACTTGTGTTGTGGTCGGGCACTGTTGGGCAACTACAGGTGGCGTTCTTGCACTTGCCCACGGCGCGGAGCCGATTTGGCCAATGTGCAATGGCAAACAGAGCTAGTGGAAAGCCCTGCCTCGTTTCGTGCCAGGCCGAGAAAGAGCGAGAGATTGGGGAAGACAACAAGGCACGGGTCCTCAGAAAGCACCGTTGGGCTCGTCGAGCCATAATGTGTGCATTGGTTGTAAAGTTCCGCGTGGCAGGAGCTGAAGGACAAGTTCAAGGCCGGGCTTTCATGGCAGAAAAGCAGCCCCCCAACTGCCCAACTTCTGCTGCATCGGAAAAAGATTACAGGCACCGCAGCTAAATGTAACCCAAAAAGCTACGCTCCAACGAGCAACACTAAACTTTTCGACGAACAACTAAGCCAAGCAACTGCTGGCAATACCGCGCCTTCTGGAGGTGTGTTCAAATGTAGTGACGCTCTAGGCATACACCAACCACATGTCAGGAAAAAGAACCGAAGTAGTGAGACTGCTGAAACACTTTCCAGGACTATGGTCGGCATGGCACAACAAGTGCCACCAATCGAGCTCATCTCGTCTCCATAAAGCGTTGCCGACCGCGACCTCTGCTTTGTTGCTTTACCGTCTCACGAAGCCCCAATTGAAGTCCCATCGCGCTGCAGGCCATGGAGGAGGATCTCCGAAAGTCACAATTTGAGGTTGCCTCGGCGAGATTGGCGAAGACAATTGTAGGGGTTTCTTGAAGCGTTTTTGCGCTGGGACCTGCACTCTATGCGAGTGTTGTCGGGTATAGATGATGCTCTAGCTTGGTTGCAGAACTGGATTTGGCCAAGCTGCGACCAAGTATAGTCTCCTTGTATACGCAGCCACGTAGAATTTCTCCCTGCCATTGGGGCCCTCCCGCGCCAGAACGAGAAACTTCGAGCACTTGACGACAAGGCGGGAGACTGGAGAAGTGGAGGGAATGAGGATGCGACGAAAGAACAAACCCGATGGAACTCGAGACTTTGAAGTTAGGTGTGGCTTGTGCCAGGCTGCACTGCTTGTTGAGAGGGTTATGGCTTGCTTTTTTGGATGTTTGGTAGCGATGCAATCAGGATTGCAGGGATGTGAGCATGTTACACTTTGCGGTATGATGTGTGCATTGGTTCTAAAGTTCTGCGTGACAGGAGCTGAAGGACAAGCTCCAGGTCGGCCACATTGTGACATGATTTTTACTTGCACTCTAGATGAAGACGTGCCTTTGCTAGAAACGACAACATACTTTGTTCACTAAGCTTTGGATGGGTGGAGTTGCGGAGCAGTGTTTTGTTTGTCGGGGTTCCGTGTTGTGTAGTTTTTTGGGTTACATGGAGATGCATTGCATGCATTTTTTCGTGCAGCAGACATTGTTTATGCCTCGGGCTGCATTTCAGCCTCAAAGCTGCCCTGCAGGTCATGGAGGAGGATCTCCGAAAGTCACAATCTGAGGCTGCCTCAGCGAGATTGGCGAGTTCTACTCACGCACGACACATCACACGTTTTGTTGCGTAATTGTAGTGGTTTCCTTCAACATTGAAAGGTGACGAATCTGCAACAACATGCTACAAGATACCTGCGTGCACAGCCACGTAGAGAAGACTTTCTCCCTGCGATACTTGCTTGGGCCTTCTCGTGCCAGAACGAAACGGTTCGAGAGCTCGCGGAAGACAACAAGGCGCAGGGGGAGTGAACAAGCTGGGGTGAGGATGTAAAGATTGTTGGAGGTTTGGGAACTGTAAATTTGAACTAGACGGGCGTGGCTTGCTGTGCCAGGCTAGTGCAAAGCTTGCTTAGGGTTGCATTCAAATGAGGATCTTCGGGATAGTGAGCATCCCTTGCCTTGGATTTGTTGTGGAGTTGCGTGTGACAGGTGCTGAAAGGCCTGCTCAAGGCCGGACAATTTGATGGGACTTTGATCCGAAATCCGTCGGATGGTGAATGCAGCAGCATCAAGTCAGCAATGCCTCACACGCCTATGGATTGGGGGCCCAACGGATTTGTGGGCAGGTGGTGCTAGGTCCACTTTAAGCCGGGAAGTTGCTTCTGTTCGGTCCTCTTCGGTTTTCTTCGGTCCTGTCTATGATGGTCTATGAGTATTAGCTCGGTATTGCCTTGTGCTGCCTCAACGCGGGGGGAGTAACTTGGTTTAGCATCGGGAATTTTGTGCCGTGGAGATTTCGAGCCTCAATTGAATATTGTTTTTCAACTATTATTTTTGGAAACTGGGGGAATGTGGTAGTGCACTTTTTTGTGATTTTGGGGTTTGTTGTCTTAAGCAAGTTGTACGATTGCTTTTGCTGAAGAGTGTTTGTAACTGCGATTTCTGAATCACTCAAGGTCCTCTACTTTCATCGTTTTTTGTAACATGCTGCTAATTGCTGCTGCTCATTCAAGCCAGAGTAGCTGCAATTATCTTAGCATAGTTCTTTCATTCCTGTTTGGCATTAGAGTTGAATTTGAGTTCAAGTAGATTCCAGTATGGAAAGACAAGTTTGTTGTTTCTGCTAATTTGCCTGCCCCTTAAAAGGAGTGAAACAACAATAGAACCGCAAGGAACATGCAATTTCAGTTCTAATGGTTTACACGCTTTAATTTGCCACGCTTTAAGTTTAAATCATATTTCAATTAGAATTCAATGTAAAATATTGTTTTGAATTAGAATTAACATAGGGGTTCCTTTCCAAGTAGGATTTTAATTGGGGTTTAAATAGAACATAATAAGTAGAAACAAGCTTGTTGTTTCTTCTAATTTGCAAGCCCCTCAGAAGGAGTGACAAACCGGTGAAAACCCATGGATAATACACATTTTATTCCACTTGGTTTGCAAGCTTTAAATTGCAAGGCTTTAAGTTTAAACGGGATTTCAATTAGAATTCACTTCAAAGGTTCATTTGATTTAGACTTTAAATATCACTTCCCTTCCAAGTAGGATTTCAAATAGACTTTAATTAGAACTCTTATTATAATTCAGATGTTAAATAGGAATTATACTTGCACATATGAATTTAATTAGAGTTGAACTAGAGTTCATATTTTGAATTATAATTTAAACATAATTCCTTCCAAGTCTAAATAGGAACTCCTGTCCAAAACTTAATTGGAATTTAAACATACTTTAACTAGAATCTAGTAAGGAAAGACAAGCTGATTGTTTCTTCTGAGTAATTCAATTACATGTTTTTGAATCATGCTTGAGATAGGAATTACATTTTAAGTATCTAGGCTTTTGATTAGACTTTAATTATAATTTTAATAGAATCTGGTAAGGATAGACAAGCTGGTTTTTCTTCTAGTTAGTTTAAACAGACTTCTTACACTTATTTGGATGTTTAAGAGGAATTAATTAGAGTTCTTATGGTGAAGTTGATTTGAAATAGGACTCATGACATGAGAAATCGTCTGCGCATAGAATACTCCAAAAACACTCAAGAAAAACAAAAAACAATAACAAATGACAAAACTCGAGGAAACCCCAAAAAACAAACACAACTCGAGAAAACAAAAAAAAACAAAAAAATCCTCGAGAAAACCAAACAACTCGAGGAACACCAAACAAATCAAAACAATCCTCGCGAAAACCAACAAAAAACCTCGAGAAAACCAAAAAACCCCAAAAACATGGTTTAGAAACTCTTTGTAACACAACCCATGTTGAAAGAGTTTCTAAACCATGTTTTTTTTGGTTTTCTCGTTGTTTTTTTTTGGGGGGGGGGGTTTTCCTCGAGTTTTTTTGTTTTTCTTGTTTTCTCAAGATGTTTCCTCTGCACGTGTTAGATCAAGTGCAACTGACATTGCTGACCCATGAGAAGACTGCGAGCCTCAAAACGCGCAAAAAGCGCACTACCAGGGTCCCCTGTTCTGTATTTTTGAGTATCTGGCCTCGGCTGTACTTTTCTTTGGAAAATTGATGTCCGGCTCTTTCAAGAAGGCTTAGATAAAGAGTTTGCAGTTTGGGGGGCGCGGACTTGTTGCTGGGGTTGTGGGCTTTGAAGCAGTACAAGACGAACACTGATCAACAAGGTGGGCTTGGAGAAAACAGGGTCACATTTCCTGGCGGCTGGGCAAAGGGCTGGGATGGTGAAAGTTTTGGGATCTTTAGGGAGACCGGGGAAACCGTTTCTTGTGTTGAGTATTCTTCTTGTTTGCTAGAGAGCTAAATGATTTTGAAACGCCTTCTTGAGTTTGGCGCTCTTTGATTAGTCGGTGAACGACATTTGAAGTTGTTTGGTCAAGGGGCTGAGTGTTGAGCTTTGGATTGTGGTCAGTCGATTGCTATTCAACACGGGCGGCCAATCTGCCATTGACATGCCTCAATTTCAGCGTCAAAGCTGCGCTGCAGGTGATGCAGGAGGATCTCCAGCAGTCGCAGTCTGAGGCTGCCTGGGCGAGAGTTCGGTGAGCCGTGCTCGCGCAAGATGCATTCCAATCCGTTTTATACTCGTCTTCTCCTGCAGCATTGGAAGGGATTGTGCAGTTCGCGCTGCTAAGTTGTACTGTGCTTGGGTGATGTCGGGAAACAGTGGTGCCCTAGTGCAGTGCGGAGTTGGACTTGCATTTGCAATACAATAGCTATGAACTTCAACGGTCAATATGGCAGCGTTTGCAATGTTTGACCTTGAGGGCTTGGCATCACCAGGTGTTTCAAGCATTGCCAAAGTTGTCATCCGTAATACTGAGTCGAACAAGGACATTCGACAGCGCTGGGCAGATTTTTTGTAAAACCTTTCTGCAGAGCCCACACAGCGCTAGAAGGGAAGGTACCCCCACATCGCTAGCATCACCAGGTGGGCTCGACCTCCAAGTCTGTGACGTCACCTCGGATTTGACACCGGGAGTTCGTAGAGTGAAATATACACATGTATGCTTACCTCGGTAGCGTCAGATGACCACCGCTCAAGTTTGATTAGAATTCCATGAAGAGTATGCATACATAAAGACGCTTTTTGAATGATGTCCGCATGTTGTGCCTGTAGATTGACAAACTCCTCTTATGTACGTTTGTTGTGTTGCCCAACAAGTGTTCAATACCCAGTGCGTGGTCGGCAGATGGTTCACCAGCCTCGAAGCGACATTTTTCTCCAAGTACTGGCGCGCCAGAACAAGAAAGTCCAAGCACTTGAGGACGACAACAAGGCTCACGGGGGCTGGGCAAGCCGGAGTCAATGAGGATGACTTGTTGAAATGATAATTTCAAGCAGTGAAGTCCTGCGTGACAGGAGCTGAAGGAAAAGCTCAAGGCCGCGCAATATGATGGAACTTCGATCCAATGGTGAGCGTAGTATCAATCGGCAATGCCCCAGAAAGATATGATGGGCCCTGCGGATTTGTGGCGCTTGTGGCGCTAGTGCCACTGTTAATTTTGATAGTCACTCTGGCTGTATTTGGACACTGTGCTTCCTTTGTGTTCTTCGTTGCGGTATTGCAGCAATTTGTCTTGAGATGAATTCTGAGCACTTGTATATTCGCACCCCTAGAATCTTGAAATGCTTTGCGTACCAGGTGTTGGCTTAAGACTTGAGACAACTGCCATCGCTGCACGTGAACGCAGCTCAGATTCAGCCAAGCAGTGCAGGTCATGGAGTCGGACCTCCGAAAGCCGCGGTCTCTGGCTGCCTGGGCGAGAATGCGAGATGCACTTCGTTCCGTGTCACAGGCGCTCATGCGGTTGGTGGTGGCACTTTGTTGTTGGGTCATGTCGGGTATGAGAGGCGACCTAGCTGATAGCAATCCGGAACGAGATTCGGACAATCTGCAATGAACATGTGCGAGGTACCGATTCATGGGAAACAACTGTCTCCATGCAATCGCGCGTGCCAGAATCAGAAAGTTCAAGAGCTTGAGGAAGACACTCAGGCGCAGAGAGAGACTGCGCAAGCCGGAGTAAATGGGGATAAGAAGGTTTGACAGAGTTGACGCTTGACGCATTGAAGTAGACCGTTGTGGCTCGTAGTGCCAGGGTGGTGCAGTGCTATGTTGCGGGTGCTGAAATCGACGTTTCAGGGTGGTGAACATAGGCTGCATGGGACGTTTAATATGCCATTGGTTGTGAAGTCCTGCATGACAGGAGCTGAAGGACAAGCTCAAGGCCTTTTTTTCCCAGGACTTCGATTTACAGTGGTGGGATGGTGAATCAATAACGTAGCGGTAGCTGTTGGAACGAGACAAGATGGGATACAGCTTTGGCGCTTGTTTGGCCAGGCCCTTTTTGGGATTTGGCCAGCACATTGTTTGGACAGTTGCATGGTTTTGATTTTTCTCGAGTTTTTCGCTGCTTCGTTCCGGGCATGTTAAAATCGCAGTGTCAGGGTTGGGAATACATGAGGGAACTCAGCGCATCACTGCATTTGGACACACTGTGAGCAAAAGGCACTTTCTTTGCGGCTTTTGCAACCAATTGCTTGGTCGAATGTCCGTGTTCATAGCAGCCTCGGCACTTCCGCAATTTTGGGGTGCCCGGCACGCCGGGCTGGGACGCGGTAATCAGAAATATGGAGAACATGATTTCTAACATCTTAGTTGTTACAGCCAGACCAAGGGTGAATATCGGCTTGCCAAGCATTTTGCCAGGAGGGGTTGCGGGTCCAGTGTTGTGCGTCGTGTCACAGTCATTGGATAGGTTGCTATGCGTTGCATTTGATACTTTCTTGGGTACGGTGATGGGCTCGAGATTGCCCCCTCTAGGGAACACTCGCCCATAGTTTCACTCCAGCCATTGCGCAGCCAGGGACATTCTAAATCCATGCCAGCTCTGACAAAGCCAGATTCAGGGTGAACATTGGCTCAACCGGCACAGTCATTGTTTACACTGCTATGCGTTGCATTTGTTTTTGTTCGGGTACAGTAATCGGTCAGTTGCGGGGCTGCCGTTCTGACATGGACGTGCCTGCTGTTGATTCAGCGCTGCAGGTGATGGAGGAGGATCTCCGAAAGTCACAGTCTGAGGCGGCATGGGCGACAGTTGGGTGAGGTTCACTCGCGCATGACGCGCTCCATTCTGTTCCACAGAGGCTTGATGCGGTTGTGCTGGTACTGTACTGTCGTCGGGTGATGTCGGGCACAATTGACCCCCAGGTTGCCTGCAGTGAGGATTAGTATTCTGTCTTTGATTGATACTTGCCCATGCCAGAATCAGAAAGTTCAAGAGCTTGAGGAAGACAATCAGGCTCGGTGGGGCCGGACAAGCCGGAGTGTATGAAGATGCGAATTGTAGGGCCAGGCCAGCGCACTGCTTGTTGAGGGTGCTGAGATCAAGGCCGGCCTTTTCTAGGACTTCGATTTAGTGTCGGTGGGATGGTGAATCAGTCAAGGAAGTCGTTGCTGTTAAAAACACCTTATTCAGACATGACAAGATGGAATGGAGCTTTGGCGCTTGTCCTGTTAGGCCCTTTGTCGGATTTTCTGCCAGCAAGTTGTTTGAGCAGTTGCAGAGTTTGTATTTTGCCCGGAGCTCTTCACTGCTGCGTTGCGTTGAAATAGCAGTGTTTGGGTTGGAAAGATATGAGGGAACTTAGCGAATCTGAACAGACTTTGAGCGCACTTTCGCATTTTAAGAGTCCCCTGATCGACTGGCTGGGACGCGGCAATCAGAAGCACGAAAAAGGTTATTTATTTTGTTTGTGCAGCGTCATTTGACTTGCTGAGCAGTTGCTGGTTGTTCTTAGATGGGGACACTCTAAATCCATGCCAGCGCTGACGCAGCCAGATTAAGGGTGAACATTGGCTCAACCGGCACAGTCATTGGTTGCGTTGCTATGTGTTGCATTTGTTTGTTGCGGGGCTGCCGTTCTGACATGGACGTGCCTGCTGTTGATTCAGCGCTGCAGGTGATGGAGGAGGATCTCCGAAAGTCACAGTCTGAGGCGGCATGGGCGACAGTTGGGTGAGGTTCACGCGCGCATGACGCACTCCATTCCGTTCCACAAAGGCTTTATGCGGTTGCGCTGGTACTGTCGTCGGGTGATGTCTTGCGCAATTGGTGGGTATTCTGCACAAAATGCTATGAAATACTTGTATTCTTCCTCCGCCCATACTCGCTCATGCCAGAAACAGAAAGTTCAAGAGCTTGAGGAAGACAACCAGGCTCGGAGGGGCCGGACAAGACGAAATGTATGAAGATGCGAATTGTAGGGCCGGGCCCGCGCACTGCTTGTTGAGGGTGCTGAGATTAGTGAGCATAGGCCACATGGAATGTTTAATGTATCATTAGTTGTGAAGTCCTACACGTCAGGAGCTGAAGGACAAGCTCAAGGCCGGCTTTTTCTAGGACTTCGATTTACTGTCGGTCGGATGGCGAATCAGTCAAGGAACGGTTGTTTTTGGAAACGCCTTATAGAGTCAAGATCGGATGGAGCTTTGGCGCTTGTCCTGTTAGGCCCTTTTTCGGATGTTTTTACCAGCAAGTTGTTTGAGCAGTTGCAGAGTTTGTGTTTTTCCCGGAGCTCTTCACTGCTGCGTTGCGTTGAAATAGCAGTGTTTGGGTTGGAAAGATATGAGGGAACTTAGTGAATCTGAACAGACTTTGAGCAGCAGGACAAGTGTTTGCGGCTTGGTTGATTGGCCGTGTTCATAACCAGCCTTGGCACTTTTGCATTTTAAGAGTTCCCTGCACGACTGGCTGGGACGCGGTAATCAGAAGCACGCAAAGGGTATTTAACTTTGTTGATGCAGCGTCATTTTACTTGCTGAGCAGTTGCTGGTTTTTCTTAGATGGGGACACTCTAAATCCATGCCAGCGCTGACGCCGCCAGATTAAGGGTGAACATTGGCTCAACCAGCACAGTCATTGGTTGCGTTGCTATGTGTTGCATTTGTTTGTTGCGGGGCTGCCGTTCTGACATGGACGTGCCTCATGCTGTTGATTCAGCGCTGCAGGTGATGGAGGAGGATCTCCGAAAGTCACAGTCTGAGGCGGCATGGGCGACAGTTGGGTGAGGTTCACGCGCGCATGACGCACTCCATTCCGTTCCACAAAGGCTTTATGCGGTTGCGCTGGTACTGTCGTCGGGTGATGTCTTGCGCAATTGATTGGCGGGTAATGTCGGGCACCATCGGCCCCCAGGTTGCCTGCATTGCGGATTCAGGTTGGCCAATCTGCACAGAATGCTAAGAAATGCTTGTAATCTGCCTTCCTGTGATACTTGCTCATGCCAGACTCAGAAAGTTCAAGAGCTTGAGGAAGACAACCAGGCTCGGAGGGGCCGGACAAGACGGAGTGTATGAAGATGCGAATTGTAGGGCCGGGCCCGCGCACTGCTTGTTGAGGGTGCTGAGATTAGTGAGCATAGGCCACATGGAATTTTTAATGTGTGCATCAGTTGTGAAGTCCTGCACGTCAGGAGCTGAAGGACAAGCTCAAGGCCGGCCTTTTCTAGGACTTCGATTTAGTATTGGTGGGATGGTGAATCAGTCAAGAAACGGTTGCTGATGGAAACGCCTTCTCGAGACATGATGGGATGGAGCTTTGGCGCTTGTCCTGTTAGGCATTTTTTAGGATTTTCTGCCAGCAAGTTGTTTGAGCAGTTGCAGAGTTTGTGTTTTCCCCGGATCTCTTCACTGCTGCGTTGCGTTGAAGTTGCAGTGTTTGGGTTGGAAAGATATGAGGGAACTTAGCGAATCTGAACAGACTTTGAGCAGCGATCCCAGCGTTTGCGGCTTGGGCGAATGGCCGTGTTCATAACCAGCCTTGGCACTTCCGCATTTTAAGAGTTCCCTGCGCGACCGGCTGGGATGCGGTAATCAGAAGCACGCAAAGGTTATTTATCTTTGTTGATGCAGCGTCAGTTTACTTGCTGAGCAGTTGCTGGTTTGTCTTGGATGGGGACACTCTAAATCCCTGCCAGCGCTGACGCAGCCAGATGAAGGGTGAACATTGGCTCAACCGGCACAGTCATTGGTTGCGTTGCTATGTGTTGCATTTGTTTGTTGCGGGGCTGCGGTTCTGACATGGACGTGCCTCATGCTGTTGATTCAGCGCTGCAGGTGATGGAGGAGGATCTCCGACAGTCACAGTCTGAGGCGGCATGGGCGACAGTTGGGTGAGGTTCACGCGCGCATGACGCACTCCATTCCGTTCCACAAAGGCTTTATGCGGTTGCGCTGGTACTGTCGTCGGGTGATGTCTTGCGCAATTGGCGGGTATTCTGCACAAAATGCTATGAAATACTTGTAATCTTCCTCCGCCCATACTCGCTCATGCCAGAAACAGAAAGTTCAAGAGCTTGAGGAAGACAACCAGGCTGGAGGGGCCGGACAAGCCGGCGTGTATGAAGATGCGAATTGTAGGGCAGTGCCAGCGCACTGCTTGTTGAGGGTCCTGAAATTTGTTTAATGTGTGCATCAGTTGTGAAGTCCTACACGTCAGGAGCTGAAGGACAAGCTCAAGGCCGGCCTTTTCTAGGACTTCGAGTTACTGTCGGTGGGATGGTGAATCAGTCAAGGAACGGTTGCTGTTGGAAACGCCTTATAGAGTCAAGATGGGATGGAGCTTTGGCGCTTGTCCTGTTAGTTTTTTTTTTTCCCGGATTTTCTGCCACAAGTTGTTTGAGCAGTTGCCGAGTTTGTGTTTTCCCCGGATCTCTTCACTGCTGCGTTGCGTTGAAGTTGCAGTGTTTGGGTTGGAAACATATGAGGGAACTTAGCGAATCTGAACAGACTTTGAGCAGCGATCCCAGCGTTTGCGGCTTGGGCGAATGGCCGTGTTCATAACCAGCCTTGGCACTTCCGCATTTTAAGAGTTCCCTGCGCGACCGGCTGGGACGCGGTAGTCAGAAGCACGCAAAGGGTATTTATCTTTGTTGATGCAGCGTCATTTTACTTGCTGAGCAGTTGCTGGTTTTCTTAGATGGGGACACTCTAAATCCCTGCCAGCGCTGACGCAGCCAGATTAAGCGTGAACATTGGCTCAACCGGCACAGTCATTGGTTGCGTTGCTATGTGTTGCATTTGTTTGTTGCGGGGCTGCCGTTCTGACATGGACGTGCCTCATGCTGTTGATTCAGCGCTGCAGGTGATGGAGGAGGATCTTCGAAAGTCACAGTCTGAGGCGGCATGGGCGACAGCTGGGTGAGGTTCACGCGCGCATGACGCACTCCATTCCGTTCCTCAAAGGCTTTATGCGGTTGCGCTGGTACTGTAATTGACCCCCAGGTTGCCTGCAGGGCAGATTCAGATTTGACAAATCCGCCACATAATACTATAAAGTCCTTGTAATCTTCTTCCGCCCATACTTGCTCATGCCAGAATCAGAAAGTTCAAGAGCTTGAGGAAGACAACCAGGCTCGGAGGGGCCGGACAAGACGGAGTGTATGAAGATGCGAATTGTAGGGCCGGGCCCGCGCACTGCTTGTTGAGGGTGCTGAGATTAGTGAGCATAGGCCACATGGAATGTTTAATGTGTGCATCAGTTGTGAAGTCCTGCACGTCAGGAGCTGAAGGACAAGCTCAAGGCCGGCCTTTTCTAGGACTTCGATTTGCTGTCGGTGGGATGGTGAATCAGTCAAGGAACGGTTGCTGTTGGAAACGCCTTATAGAGTCAAGATGGGATGGAGCTTTGGCGCTTGTCCTGTTAGGCATTTTTTCGGATTTTCTGCCAGCAAGTTGTTTGTTGCAGAGTTTGTGTTTTGCCCAGAGCTCTTCACTGCTGCGTTGCGTTGAACTAGCAGTGTTTGGGTTGGAAAGATATGAGGGAACTTAGCGAATCTGAACAGACTTTGAGCAGCAGGCCAAGTGTTTGTGGCTTGGGCGAATGGCCGTGGTCATCACAGCATATCACAGCCTTGGCACTTCCGCATGTTAAGAGTTCCCTGCACGACTGGCTGCGACGCGGTAATGAGAATCTTTGGGACGCGGTATTCAGAATGTTTGGAGAGGACCAATGTCTGCGAGCCCTCTACCGGTCCGAAACCAATCCAAAACCAACCCAACGCCAATCTGCACACTAAACCAGCCCCATAGTCCGATCCAACTTCAACCCTACACCAACCCCGGTCCAATCCGAAACCAATCCTCACCCTAGGTTGGAATAAAAAGTCTCAACAGCCTTTCTCAATGCGCTTAGCGTGGCAGTTGAAGGGTTCGACAGAAATTACGGAGCTGCCTGGAGGACCCTTTGATACACAAAAAGTGCTCCAGACAGTTTTTGGCATTCGAGCGCTTTTTTCTGCTCAAATTCTATTCGAGCACTGTTTGAGGTTGCCTAGATGCTTGGTGAAGTGCTCGAGAGAAAACATAACCGCAACTCGAGCGCATTTTCCCGCTACTCGGGCGCAATTTTCCGCAACTCGGGCGCAATTCCAAAAAGTGTGCAAAGCCAAAGCTCCGCCCCGCAATCTGTGCGTTGCATGAGTTTGCATTTACCATTTCTCGCGCACTTATTTGCCACGAAAGCTCGAGCAAACATTTGCGTAGCAATGGGTCCTGCAGGTGCTTAGAATTTAGAGCATGTATGTGAACACACCTTGAGCAGCAAGCGCAGACTTGTGGGTTTTGCTTGGTCGAAGGGCACTATTCACAGCGCGCTTCGGCACACTCACAATTTTGGGGGTGCTTAATCTTGTGCGCAAATGCTTGATATCGCAGACTTCTCTAGCAATGGCCATAATCATAATATGAGAATATGAGTTCTGCCTCATCCGCCAGATGCAGGCGTGCTCTGGCTAGAACTGACAACTTCAAACGTATTCTCCTTCATTTATTTCAAGGGATTCTTGATTGGTGGAGTCCTAGCTGACTTGCCGTGGGCATTTCTTGAGCCTCTCGCCGAAGCCAAGCTGCAGGTGATGGAGGAGGATCTTCGAAAGCCACAGTCTGAGGCTGCCTGGGCGAGCTCCACTATGAGCCTTTCCATAAGGACCCTCGCATGGTATTGGCCAATAGTGACTTAGTGAACATATTCCCCTATTTAAAGTTGAATGCTTGCGTCCAACAGATCAATACTTGTGCTCTGGTTGAGGTTATGTTCATCTGGAGTTGTGCTGGTACTGCTTCTTTTCAGCGCTGCTGCTGATGATGCTGCACCTGTAGGAGCAGCAAGTGATACAACTTTTTGCCATCGTTGCTGCTGATGTGTGTGTTGTCTTCGTTTTGGTGTTTGTGTTGGTGCCGAGTTGTGTCTTTGTTTTTGTTTGCGCGGACTGGCTGGCTGGCTGGCTGGCTGCCTGGCCGCCTGGCTGGCTAGGTTGCTTGATTTGTGGTTTGGTTTGTTGTTGTCATTTTGGCTGGCTGTGGTGGCTTGCATGTGGCACTGAGGGCACCGGCGTTTGTTGTTGCACAAGCTTCTAGACTTCTGCTGAAGAAGCTGCTGATTGCCTATTTGAAGAAGCCCGACATGTTTGTCGGGGAATTCTGACGAGTTTCTTGTGTGCTTCACCATGTTTCAGCGCATCACACGGAACAAGTGAGCTGGGCCAAGTTTCTCCGGCCTTGTCTTGTGACGTTTGCAGGCATCCACAAGTGAAGGCTCAGCCTGTACCCCCCGATCACCGTCCAGCTCAGAAAGCAGGCTGAGGCCGGGCTCCGATAGCCTCAAGTCTCGGCCAGAAGTGCACGGGCACATTTGGATAAATGCACATTTACAAGAGGTTGGCTGCTGTGTGTTGCGGCTCGTGAAATTCAAGTCTGGCCGATGTGCGGAAAACTCGTGGCGACAACATCTTGGAGGCTTCCTTTATGGTTGCCTTCGTTGGCTGCATCAAACCATGGACCATAAACTGCGCAAAACACTCACATGGTGTTGAGAAGACAAACAAACGCAACTCCAAACAAACCAACTTGCATAGACCAAACAGCGAACGTCGACATGACGTACAAGAAAACCACAGACGCAACAAAGAATGTTGAGACGCCCCCAAGCAAGCAAGCAAGCAAGCAAGCAAGCAAGCAGGCAAGCAAGCAAGCAAGCAAGCAAGCAAGCCAGCAAACAAGCAAGCAAACAGACAATCGTGGCTGCCCCCTTCATAGTATGCGTTTGACTCTTTCTGTATTTGTTTGCTTGGCTTGCTCGCTCGGTTGGTTTATTTTATTTTGCGGGTGCTGATCTTGGATTGGAACTCGCATTCGGTGTTGCTTGGAGTCCAAGCCATCGAGCTGTGTTTATATAGTATACCGTACCTCATGTACCGAACACTTTGCGGCTTTCATGGACAGGTCGGAGAATTAACGCCCTCAGACACCTCGAGTCCAATCCGACGCTTTGCGAGTTCAGGGATCCGTTGGCAACGAATTGTGCTGTGTTTGCATAGGATATCAGACACTCACGTGCCAGATGTGTTCACTCCCGGGGCTCGGTATGCCCGTGCAGGGCCGCTATGTCTGACACCGGGACCTCCGCAGATCAGCTGAAGTCTGCCATTGGCGCGGTCAATGCGTTGGTGGAGGAGGCGAGACATGTGCCGCAGGTCCACGGGTCGGGTGGCTCTAAGAGGGAGGCGGGTGAAGATGCATCGCGTTTTCATCCTGTGACGTGAAAGACCCACCTGTTTTCACAGGGTGCGACAGGAAGGCAACATGACTCGATCAAATGCGAATCCTTACCACCATGTCTCATCCTAGACGGGGCAACATGTGTTTTGAATGTATCACCCCAAGGATCCTGATGAATTTTGAGGACCCAGCCTCTCGGTGTAAAGAAGGGCCCCGTGTTCCTGTGGGTGAATGTTCGGTTTCCTGGAGTCCTCGGCTGCCAAGTGGGCATCCTGTCCGGGCCCCACAATGAGCCTGGGGTGTGGAAAACTGGCAACAGGCAGCAATGCAGTTGATGCTCATACCGGATTGGGGCAGTTTTCCTGTGATTCCTGTCCAAAGAGGGCACGACAGCCACGACAAAACCGGGACGGCCGCCTGGTTTTCCCCGATGTTTTTTGCGCAGGCCCAGCGTGAGCTCGACAGGAAGCTGGGGTGCGGACCTGAGGTCGCTCAAGAGTTGACTCCAGCTGCAGTTTTACCAGAGCAGACAGCGGATTGGAAGCTCTTGCACAGATTTTCAATATGGGCATGGCCCAAGAAATCGAGGATTTAAGATTCGAAAGACTTGCACTGCAGTATTTGCCACTGATGCCGGGCGACAACACGCCATGTTGATGAAAACAATTCATAGCCCCCGGCAATGAAGTTCGGCTACGCAAGCAGCATACAATATTTTGCTTGTGGCTTACATGTCTTTCAGAGCCAAGCGACGGAGTCGTCAGCCAAAGGCATCATGATCTTTCGCCGAAGCAAACCACCACTGAAGAAAACATGACTTGTCACTGTCAGAAACCGTCAGCACCCAAGTCTTCTTTGCTCCGAATGTTCCTGATATTTCCGGGCCAGAGCAGTGCCAACGCCCTACAGATGGTTCCAACAACCCTTTAAATGGGTCAATGTGCTGGGTTGCTCTGGGTGAGGAAGAGGCTCATCAGCTTTCAGAAAGGGACTTTGCCGGGGATTCTATTGCATGAGTAAGGCACAACCATGACCCGCACAAAGGCGCAACTGATTGACACAGCTTGCGGGGAGGAGGCTGCCCGCTTGAGGCGAGCCCGGCGAGCAGCCTACGAGCAGCTGGCAAACGCCAAGCAGGCAGCGTTCGGACATGTCCGTTTCGGAGAAGCGTGGCAGTCAGCTTTGACAGACTAGTAACAGCGGTCTGTGGTTGAACGGGATGAAGGGGGCAGGCTTGCATTGCTTCGTTTGCGCTGCTGTATGTTTTTTGTTTGCTTAGGGTAAGACAGCAAGCGGGCAATCTATCTATTCCCGTTGACAGCAGGGTTTTCATGGCCCCCGCGCTGATGTTAAACCTCGCAGATGAGGACACACCCCTTCAACTTTATGGCACTCAGGCTTTTGCCGCCATTGCATTGCCTAGCCCTCTAACTTGCTTGTACTCTGCAGGCTAATGACGAAGAGGGCTTGGAGCAGGCAACGGCGCTGGGGTGCGATGTGTGGACAACAACTTGCCTTTTGCAAACAGTTTTGTTTTGGTCAGGGGTGTTTTGGTATCATGGAGTCCCAGCATCTCGCCATGGTTTGCCAGGCTATATGTGTAGCCCGGCAGACTGGGGTGGATGAGAGCGACGTGGCGGAGGCGGAGGTGCAACGATTTCACGCGTGCCATCCCAGATGTTTGAAACATGTGCCTGCGCTCAGTAAGGTTGATGCAATTGCTATGATACGTGTACATATATATATATATATTATATTATATATAATATATATATATATATATATATAATATATATATATATATATAATATACATATATTCGTATACATGCGCACGCCATGTATAGGTATATATATATATATATATGGTACGCCCCCCCTGGTGCCTAGGTTTTGCTTGATTTCAGTCATTTGTTCAGGTAATTTTGCATTTGTGTGCCAAACTTGGGCACCAAGGAAGGGGGGTGTGCCACAATTCTACAATTGAGAATTCTGGACCCAAGATTGCTGGGAGACGTTCAACTTGACAATCTGGAATTCAAGATTTAAGACTTCAAAACAAGCTTTTCTGGAATGGTGGAATATTGAATCTTGCGTCCCATTTTTGTTTAACACATATGAGATTCAAGATTCAAGATTCCCAGCAAAATATTATTTGAAATCTTGAATCTTGAATCTCTTAAACAAATAAATAAATAAATATATATATATATACACATAACATATGGGATTCAAGATTCAACATTTCAAAAAAGTCTTTTTCTGGGAATCTTGAATCTTGATTCCCATATTTTTTTTTAAAAAAAAAATCCAGGTTTGTTCCAATACTCTCGGTGTTCAATAAGATTCTCGGAAAAGCTTTCCGTGAAATATGTCAATCTCGAATCTTCAATCCAGCGGTAAAATACGTTCGAAGTTTTAGAACAACTTGATCATTTTTAGGGTTTGACCAAGATGGATTATTCTCAGGAAAGTTGTTGTTTGTGCAATCCTCAATATTGAATCCTGAATCCAGTGGTAAAGCACTTTCAAGTGCGAGAAGAACTTGAATGTTGTTTGGGTTTGGCCAGGATTGACAATTCTCAGGAAAGTGTTCTGTGTAATCTTCAATCTTGATTCTTACCATTCATCCAGTGGTAAAATACTTTCACTTTCAAGTGCTTAGCGTTCCAGTGGAAACACTTTCAAGTTATTAGTTAGACACACTTTCAAGTGCTTTTGGTGAGCGGTTTGCTTCATGTTAGCTATGAAGCATGTTGACCCTTTTCCAGGAGGTAAGCAAAGGTAGATGGAATACTCAACAAACTGTGTTTTACAGTTTTTTATGAAGAGGCGCAGGATCATTAGGGGTACTATATATGTCTGTATGTATGTGTATTTGTATATACATGTATGTATGTTCACACACCATCACCCCCTCTCTTGAACTACCTCTCCACATTTGCTCATCTACTACCTCAGCCTTTTGAGATAGACTGAATTAATTTTGTTGTCCTGTGCAAATAGAACTTAAATACAACTGATTCAGCTAGAATCCCTGTTTCGAAGTAGTTTTAGAATTTGAACCTCTCTTCCCTTGAAATTTCCTTTTGGAACACCGTCTAACAAGTTTAATTTCGGACCTTTCTTATGCTGCAAAAGGGCCAGGATATAAATAACACAAATCGTATTTCGAATTTCCTTGTAGAAGTCCTTTGAATGTTTAGCCATATTTAATACGCACTAAGTTTGAGAAGTAGTCTCTATTTAATTGCTATTATGAAAAGCTAGTTGAGTTGTGTTCGTATTAGATTATATCTAACACTTAGATTATATTTGGGAATAAACTCCTAGCTTCTTTTGTTGAAGATTAGTTGGAGTTTGCCCGAAACTATACTTATTTTCTCATGTAGCTCCTATTTGGAAAGGATTTGGTTATATAAGCTGTAGTTGAGCTGTTGAGCATAAACACATTTTGAAAACTTTCTCCTAACCAAATTATATTCAATATTCCAATTCTAGTTGAAGTAAGATCCTATTGGAAAGGGTATCATATTGGGACATTTCGGATCTTGCCACACCCATTCGTGTGTGCTTAAAATCTATTGCAACAAATCTACAGTCTACAGCCTGCGCGCTGAAATCAAGCAACACCTAGGCACCAGGAGGGGGGCGTTGCATATATAAAAATATATACATATCTATACATGCATGGTAAGTACATACCTCCTTTTCTTTTCCTATCCCTCTCGCTTTGGCAGGGGGCCTCCACATTCTGGGATCTCATTTGCGAAAGCACTAGAAAGTGCAATGAACCCCCCCGCCGCTTTGAGTTGAGGGTACTTTTGGCATCTCTCTCCTCCATGCAGCCGCGTGTCTCAGAGCTATGCGTGTCACGTCCTGGTGACAGCCCTGCCTCGAACCAGATACATCTGAGTGAAGAGCACAGGTGCCTGACTCATTTGTAGGCCCCTCAGGATTCTATGATCAGAATGCCGTTTTACAATATTGTACTATTATTTATTATTATGATTATTATTATCATTATTATCATTATTATTATGCATTTGTAAGCTCTGATTTTCTCAAGCCCAATTTGCCAAGTTTTGCATGCTACCGATCACCGGCAATCTTGGCCGGCAGTTTGGATTTGAGGTTTGGCTGAGAGTAGCTGAGAAGACCAACAGAGACAACAAGAACAGCTTTCCGGACAATCTTTCCAGACGCTCCATGCTTGGCCATGGCGCATCGCATACGGGGCATGCCCCATGAGCCATGTTCGGCCTGTGTCAATGCGAGGAAGGCGGGGTGGGATGTTTAATGGCAAACGCGTTGGAGCTTTTGGCAAGATCATTTCTAGATGCGCTTCATTGGTAGCCAAGCTGCAGCGTAATACCGCTGGTTGCGCTGAGGCCCCGCAAACATTGAGCCGGTGGAGGTTGCGGGCCGACCAATCCTCGACGCTTTGACTTGCAGGGCGGAAAGCTGTCAGGTCTCAGATGGAAGACTGCCAGAAGAGACTGCAGCCTCGTGAGACGTAGCTATAGTCAGTTCAACGATTGGCACTGCATAACATGCATCCAATACAAACAACAATCATTCTATTATTCAAGTGCGGGAGAATCTATTTGAGCGCACCGTGTCTTCATTTTTTGCACTACTGCCTGCCGTGTTGCCCAACCGGACGATTAGTGGTGCGTGACGATTGTTATGCTGTACGTAGCATTTGTATCCGAACTATTTCAACTTTCTTGTCTCATTTGGCTCAGTTGATTAATGCAGAGCGGTCCCTGAGCATCGCACACACATAGATCATGTGTTGCCCTTCCTTTGGCTATCGTTTCTCCGCTGAACTGTTGACAAGCCAATAGGGAAACTCAAGTTGCCTCCACGCAGGGACACATACCACGAGTGCATGCCACAAGCACCGCATGTGATCTGTGGGAAGAACATGGCCTCGGAGGCGCAGCGAATTTGGGATTCAGCGCAAGTCTTTGGCTTTCAAGTCCCTGTCAGCGGATGTTGCGCTGCTTGTCGGCTTGGTGCAAGATAAACAGAGTGGACAGAGTGGTGCGGAGGCAGGGCCTGCGCTTTGCGGGCCATCTGGGCAAGCTTGAAAGGCGTCTATGCGCTGAGCCCTGCGCCAGGCAGCGCCTTGCCCGCTCCCCTAAATCCGTATTTGGTTCCCAGCAGGGCGAATGTGTTTTAACGCGTTCCGCAGTGATCGGCAGAAGCTTGTGAAGTGGACCGGCATGATGTTGTCAGACTGGGTGCTCCCGTTAACGTGTGGGACGGTGTTGGCTTGCTCAGTTCAGATGACTGGCTTGCCCCTCGGGTTTTCCTGAGATGGCGGGCTCTTGGAGTTGGTTTCGGCGGATGTGACTGTGAGGGCATGTTGGTTGCCGGCAAGAGGAAGAACCGTTCGAGACTGTTGGGTTGCGAGTGGGCCAAAAGCCCCAAGGAGCCTCTTGCGCGAGCTTTGGCGGGGGCCGGGCCACCTTCTGCTTTGACGGAAGGGGCGCCCATAGGCTCGCAGAAGGCGCCAAGGTGGACCAAGGTTGCAGCCTTGTGCTTTGGGCTTCGTGCCGCTCAGGCGTGGGTGTTTTGTTTGGGGCAGGCAGCGTTGAGCTTGCGTGGCCTTGCCGCTGCAATGGTCGGAACGCTCCCTGCGAGCCTGCTGATTCGGCAGCTGGTGCCTGTGTGTGTGTGTGTTTCGGCTGCTGGAGAACGGAGCGCGCAGTGTGCGGCCTGTGTTGAGATGATGGCACAGAAAGTGCGGTACAAACCGATGGAGCATGTGATCCGTGTGCGGGGAGAGCGTGGGCGAACATGCTGGAAGGCTTGCTTCTTTTTTTGTTTTTGCTTTGGCGAGAACTTGCTTGGTGGGAGGCTTAGCCTTGTTCGTCTTGGTGTGACCCACGTGTCAGAGGGTGCTTGTGTGTCAGCTGGCCTGCTGCCTGCTGTGTCACGACCGTTGGACAACAAAGCGATGTATGTATGCTGCATGTTGGATGGGTTTCAGAAGGAAGCCAACAAAAAGGTCCAAATCCGACTTTCTTTTGAGACAGACCGCGCATTGTGGCATGGGCGCGTCTTAATTATTTTGAATGCAAAGTGCGTAGCCGAACTCTGGTGTGAGGTTGAAACGGGTTTCGACCCATTTCGGGTTCAAAACCCGCGACTACCCGCAGCTTTCGAGAGCCACGCCGCTGGCGTCCGAGGATGACCGCTACGTGGCCGAGTGCGAACTGGAGCCTGAAGAAGCTCTGGTGGTGCTCCCGGCCTCCTGGCCAGTGGCGTTCTGGGCGGGTTGGCCAAAAAGAACGGGTCGAAGCCGTTTCGGCTGGCTTGCTGTATCTGCTTAGAGAGATGGCTTCCTGTTTTCTGGTTCAAACGTGGGGTTTACTCATGTCAGCTCAGAGGACCCTTGTTCAGGGCAAACCACAGGCGGGGCTTTCAAGCACGGGCAGACTGGGCCGCACTGTCGGGAGCAGCGAGTCATGGCCGCTTGGCAAGTAGGAAGGGCATCCATTCGACACCGGCCGTGCTCAAGGCATTTGCTCCAGATCCTACCTGGAATTTGACACGTGGAAAGAGCAAAGTCGGTGATTGTTTGGATTTCCACAGCAGCACCTCTCACAGTCTGGTCTTCAGGATGCTGCTTGCAGCA